GGAGCCAAACAGATGCACTGTTCGCATTCAGGTTGTTTAGATGGATGCTCAGAAGTTTGTTTTTGGCTGCAGTAATTCGCATTTTGGGGCGTTTTTTTTTTATTTATATATATTTTTGTAAACGTTCCCTGTTTAGGCTGCTGCTTTACGAAGTTGAATTTGATGCCTGAGATATTAAAGCTCTGACTCGATCTGAGACGATTGGCTTGATGGTTGCATGTAAATCACAGTGACTTGTTCAGAAATCGTGGATTCACGCTGCAGCCAATATGAGTTGGAACTGCTGGCCCCCTAGAGGACATGGGAGATTTTTTTTTTTTTTTTTTGCGTGACCTCGCAAAATTACTCCATTCCCTTGCAGTGATGTACTGGTCTGTTGAAGACTGCAAGACTTTTTGATACAATATAAGGAGTTTTCATGCTTATTAATGTCTTGGTGATGTTACATCCCCTCCAAAGATTCTCCATCAGACTCAGAACTCAAACCATTGATATTATTTCCACTCAGAGGAAATAGGAGCGCTTAAGGCTTTTGGAGATCTCTAAAGTCTCACGTCAAGAGTTCGATCGACTCATTGCACCAGCGACAGCAACAAGGTGCATTTTGCACGCCCTGAAGCAGCGTGGCATATCATGGCTATGCAGATGATAGCGTGCTGTGTGGGTGTAAACCTGCAGAAGAGTAGAAGGATTTCTCTCAGAGGACACAGACACAAAGGAAAAGAGGAGGAGGAGGAGTGACACAGTCAGCAGCTCCTCTGCCAGTTACTCCCCAGTTAAAAAACGATTTTAAACACAGGCTTTCTCCTTCTCTTCCACAGAGCGTGTTTATGAACAAATTTCCCCAATATTTCAATTAACACATCAAAGCTTTAATTTTCCCTGGTAACATTACATTTCATCTACTACTGCTAATGTGGACAAAATCATGGAGTCATCTACAAATTCCTCACCGTCCGTCTTCTTGATCTTCTCCATGTAAGAGAAAATCAAGACAGTTCAAGCCAGCCAGCAGATACGAGCTCTCGTGCATGTCCTGCTCGTTCCTGAGGGCCCCTCCATTGTGGGTACAGCAAATAAAACACAAATTGAACATAAAATTCATATTGGATGTTGGTAACGTCCCAAGAAATCCACACACACAAAGAAATCGAAACAAAGTCTGGTCACGAGCCTTTTTGTTCTCCAACAAACCCGTGTCAGTGTTGGACACCGCTAGCTAAAGACTTTAGCTGCGCTAACCTTAAAGCACTAAATGTAAATGTAGATATTAGTTTTGCTCAAACTGAAGCTCTATGTCAACACAGTATTTAATAGAGGCTAATGCTGAATTGCTAACTTTAGCATTAGCGTAAAGTCAGCTAATGCTAAGTTAGCTAATGATAACTTTAGGAGCATTAGCAGCGTCACTACTGCTAAAGTAACTAATGTTAGATATGCTTCCACCATATGCCAATGGCAAAACATGCATTAAAATTCCATATCCTCCTCAACAGAGTCACATTTGTTATTACATGCCCATTTGTTCACTTTGTGGAGTGATTATTTGGAACAAACTTGTCGCTCCGTTTTATTGTTGTTCAGTTTTGCTGTCTTTGTTGCTTTTTGCTGTTTTTTTTTTCTTGCCTTTGATCAGATCTGGCGTCACGCCTTCTCACCAATGCGCCACAAACAACTCAACGTATTCTTTACAATACCTTGGAACAAGCACAATTTAAAATCCTAGCAACTCACAAAGCACATTGAAAACAGCCCCTAGGAACCCCCTTACTATCAGAACCAGAATCCAAAGCCTTCACTGTGTTTCTCTGAAACGCCCCCAGACGTCCTGTGAGTCCACGCACGCATATGCCGGAGCTTTCACTTTGGCAGTAGGTTGCACACAGCATTAAGCATTTATTTCAGATTTCCCTTATAGCTGTTTGGACCTTTGACAATACTGGAGCTCCTTGTTTTACGTCAGCTCCTGGGCAGTGAGATAGTACCAAAAAGAAGCAACTGAACCTTCTTTAACAAGCACAAATTCAAAGGCAATAGACAAATCATGTCAAATGAAAGTGGAAAGAATAATCTCAAACACTCTTTTTCTGAATTTTTCTTCTTTCCAGCATTGCAACACTGCAGCAAAAAGCTGTTCCCGAAGAAAATAGGTTCTTATTGCCAGGCAGGGAAAAAAAAAATCCTGCACACACGAGCGCATATTTAAGGAGGTCTGTGTTTTGAGCCATATGTCTGTGAATGTGGCTTGTCTCAATAAAACATGGTGCTCTATTGTTAATCTTTAATAGTTCTGTCCTTTAGAATTAACCCACATGAACACACATTCAGGGCAGCATCCTCGCTCTTGCTCACATTCAGCACTCTCCCTGAAACAAACAAAACAACAACAAAAAACTGGATTTCAGTGGACAAAGAGTTTACTCACTTACAGATCTCTTCAATTTATTTATTTTTAAAAAATTATTATTATTTTACGTTATCTGGCAGTGTGGCGATCAGAGCTGTTGTCAGAGTTCCAAGGTGAGGTTCAACTGATTCACTTTCACAAGTGGAGCGTTATGGCTTTCTCTGTGACATCCCACGAGTGCCTTGAAAAAGAACACGTTGCTCCCAGAGTGCATCGGCGATCCATCCAGGAGGTCACAAAAGGCTTCCGGGCAACAGCTAAAGTAGGGCAAGGCTCGCCATTTTAGCTAAGGTCAGAGTTCAAGATCATGATAGATAGAAATGGCAAAAATAGAAGAATTTGATAGAGAATGGTACAAGAAAAAAATCTGTCGGTGAAAATATATTTTTTTATGAGAAACTATAACAATGGGGCAAGTTGAATACTTAGAGGCGTAGCAACAAAAACGATAACCTGGATTGCACATAAAATAACAGAAATGAAATTAGTAGCTGGAAGAAATGGACCGACGTCGAGGGAGGCTGCGAATCTGGCAACGTGTGATGGATCAGAGGACGATTACATGAAAAATTGATGGCTGCGAGGTTTGACTGGTGCTAACAGAAGGCACAGTGTATGCGCTAGGTATTGTGTGAGCGTGTGCATGAATATGTAATTTACTAAATGGCTTTCAACAAGAAAGAGGCCGAGCAGAATCGTGCACACAGGAATCGGTTTCCTTGGATTAAAATCGGATCAGCGTGGCAGCGTTTGCGGGAAGCGTTAAAAAGCCAGTCTGCAACACTCACATGCAGATATACAGTGTGAGGAACCCAGATCTGTTTCCTGTCCATTCCTCTGTTGCATAAGTTTCACTGAGTCCACCCACTCGCCTCTCTGATGGAATATAACCCCCATGGATCCAGACACAATGTTCCCTCCTCTTCCACGGCTCCAAATAAACGGGCAAAGCGCTGACACAGACAAACACATCCACAGACAGGCTGGCTGTCATCACTGAGAGAAATGCATCTTCATTTTCCACGGTCCCTGGACCCCTGTCGCACTGCCTGTGCGGTGGTGTGATTCTGCCCCCTGCTGGCAGAGTTAGAAATCCTGCACTGATGAGGAATGGTCAAGTTTCCACATATTCAAAACAATACCCTCAACTTTTGAGTTAATGTTTGTTTTTAGATCTTATTACTTTTATACTTTTGTAAGGAATTACTCTAATATACAGTTTTTTTTCAGTGTCTTATCTGGAAGTGTTCCCACCATTACTTTAATGTGGAGTACATTATTTTTGAAAAGTGTAACTATTTTATCTATTGTCAGAAAACAGCCAACAACTTCAGCACAATGTATTGGGATTTTACATGACAGACCAGCATGATACATAATATGTTATGCTGACAGCATATTATGAATATTGTGAATATTGTTCAAACACCAGCATGTTGATGAGAAAACAGACTGAAAAATGAAAGTTTCATATTAACATACATTGTTAAAGAAGCCCAATAAGATTCACTTTGGACATTAACTGAGTTCACTTATCATTATAAAACAGATCTTGGATTTCCCGGGAGTTGACATTTGAAGTTTCCTCGAAGGACATTTAAAAACTCAACTATTAAAAAATGCATTTTAATTACATTATCTTATATTATTTCCTAATTTTCAAAAAGAAGAAGAAAAAAAAATTGTCTCTATTGTGCAATTACTTATTTATGTATTTTGGAAAAGTTATCCACTAACATTGTTGCCTATTCTTCATTACTTCTTGTTGTTCTTTTCATAAATAACAGAGGATTATCAGACTCTCTTCTTCTTCCACTCATTCAGTTAATCATTTAGTCTTTCTCTCTAAGCCTCAGATTTCTCATATGTGCATCTTGTATTCCATGTTTGTGTCTGGCATCTTGTACTGCTATCATGATCAAAATAAATAAATAAATAAAGCTTTATTAGAATAGCTGTTTTATTTATTTTTGTTCTCATCTTACCTCCATCATCCTGAGGCCTTCTAGCGCCTCCTTGTGGGGCCACAGTCTCAGTGCTCTCTCCTCTGCACTGCTGACACAGACAGACTTTAATCTCTCAGAGAAACACAATTCATTTTCTATGATCCCAGGAATCCTGTCTCTCTCTCTGTGTAACTCTGCCCCCTACTGATAGCTTTCTTAAACTGCACCAATGAGAAGAACTATTGACATTTATTCATAAAGTTTCCACATATTCAGAATCATTTTCAAAAACATAGCCATAACTCTTGAGTTAATGTTTGTTCTGAGCTCTTATTATTTTATCAGTTGAAAAGAACTGATGTCAGATAACAGCCATAATCTTCAGTGAAATTTTATTATTCTATTAATTAATAACAGAGGATTATCAGACTCTCTTATTCCTCCACTCATTCAGTTAATCATTTCCTAGTCTTTCTCTCTAAGCCTCATATTTCTCTCTCTCCTCTTCCTCCTCAAACACGCCTTCAATCTGCAAGGATTCAAAGTCTGCTGAAGGTGAAAGCTGATTGGCTGCTGCCTCTCAGTTCTGACATGTGACTCACAGGTCAACCCAGTTGAATGAGATGAAACTCACACAGTCACTGTGACCGAGAGCAGAAATGGACCCAGAAACTTTCTCCTGTTCCATCTGTCTGGATCTACTGAAGGATCCGGTGACTATTCCCTGTGGACACAGCTACTGCATGAAGTGTATTAAAACCCAGTGGGATGAAGAGGATCAGAAGGGAATCCACAGCTGCCCTCAGTGCAGGGAGACATTCACACCGAGACCTGTGCTAAAGAAGAGCACCATGCTAGCAGCTCTAGTGGAGAAGATGATGAAGACTGGACTCCAAGCTGCTGCTGCTGACCACTGCTATGCTGGACCTGAAGATGTGGCCTGTGACTTCTGCACTGGAAGAAAACTGAAAGCCATCAAGTCCTGTTTAGTCTGTCTGGTTTCCTACTGTAAGAATCACCTCCAGCCTCACCTTGATGTTCCTCGAATGAAGAAACACAAGCTGGTGGAGCCGACCAAGAACCTGCAGGAGAACATTTGCTCTGATCACGACGAGATGATGAAGATGTTCTGTCGTACTGATCAGAAGTCTATCTGTTATCTCTGTTCAGTGGATGAACATAAAGGTCATGACACAGTGTCAGCTGCAGCAGAAAGGACTGAGAGGCAGAGAGAGCTGGAGGAGAGACGAGGAAACATCCAGCAGAGAATCCAGGACAGAGAGAAAGATGTGAAGCTGCTTCAACAGGAGGTGGAGGCCATCAATCGCTCTGCTGATAAAACAGTGGAGGACAGTGAGGAGATCTTCACCCAGATGATCCGTCTCCTCCAGAAAAGAAGCTCTGAGGTGAAGCAGCAGATCAGATCCCAGCAGGAAACTGAAGTGAGTCGAGTCAAAGATGTTGAGGAGAAGCTGCAGCAGGAGATCACTGAGCTGAAGAGGAAAGACGCTGAGCTGGAGCAGCTCTCACACACACAGGATCACAACCAGTTTCTCCTCAACTACCCCTCACTGCCAGCACCCAGTGAGTCCACACACTCATCCAGCATCAACATCCGTCCTCTGAGACACTTTGAGGACGTGACAGCAGCTGTGTCAGAGCTCAGAGACAAACTGCAGGACGTCCTGAGAGACTCATGGACAAACATCTCACTGATGGTCACTGAGGTGGATGTTCTGCTGTCAGCACAAGAACCAAAGACCAGAGCTGAGTTCTTGAAATATTCACTTGAAATCACAATGGATCCAAACACAGCAAACACACGGCTTAAACTATCAGAGAGGAACAGGAAGGTGACATGGATGAACGACCGTCAGTCTTATTCTAATCATCCAGACAGATTCATTGATCACCTTCAGGTTCTGAGTAGAGAGAGTCTGACTGGACGTTGTTACTGGGAGGTGGACAGGAGCGGGGAACATGTTTCTGTATCAGTCGCATACGAGAATACCAGCAGAGCAGGAACCTGGAAAGAGAGTGGATTTGGATGTAATGACAAATCTTGGGCTTTAGATTGTAGTAGTTCTAGATTTGGACACAACAACATCTGGACCCCCATCTCAGGTCCAGTTTCCTCCAGAATCGGAGTGTATCTGGATCACACAGCAGGTCTTCTGTCCTTCTACAGCGTCTCTGAAACCATGACTCTCCTCCACAGAGTCCAGACCACATTCACTCAGCCGCTACTGGCTGGAGTTAGGGTGTGGCATTATTTTGGGTCTGGATCCTCTGCAGATTTCATTAAACCCAACTAGATTTCATCTCTACTCTCTGACTTCACATCAGGCTTCATGGGTCTGCTGTTCTATTCTTCTCTATTTCTCTGGTTTAAATGTAGTTCTTCTCAGTCTCTTTGCTCCAGGAGCCATTAATGATCTTCTGATGTTTTCTTTCATTCTTTTATTACACAGAGCTGATCTGCAGAGCAAATGTTCTTCATTAAATCAGTTGATATTGATGTGAAACGAACTTTTCTTCATTGTGATCCAAAGAAAAAACTGAAACTAGATTTGACTTTAAACTGATGCTGATTACTGAAAGACAAAAATCAAATCTTTCATAGTCAGCTCAAACTGCCTTGCCTAGTGCAGTCATTATGCATGTCAGTCCAGAATGTGGGATCCGAATATCTCCATAAACATTTCCACATCTAATTTTTCCTTCAGGCCACAATTTCTGCATTTCATAAATGTACCTGTACAATAAATTCATTAATTCATTATTATACAGCCTGGACTTTGGATTTCTTTTTATCTGTAGAGAGAGAGAGTTTCATAACATGTAGATATGACTCTCTGGATGAAGATGTTACTTTCTGCGGCAGTTAGTTCTTTAAAGTCTACTGAATGCACCAAGAAGAGACATACCCTGAAGAGGAATTATGAACTTTAAGGAGCGTTATTCCTATGTATTTACATGTGTCTAAGAAAACAGTTTATCCCATTTCCCAGTCAAAGTTTGTCCGATCAGAATATGTGTCTGTATATGTATGCAAATAAGTACTCCATGGTCGAGATCAGTGTTTGTGCACTGAGGCTTGGAGTTCAGGCCATACTTTTCTCATGTGGTTTTATCAGACCAGCTGATTTTGTTTCTCCTGGTTCGACATGTTCTAAGGAAGAAGTGGCTTCCATCAGGTCACAGGGCCACGAAAACCTGATTGGAGAAAAAAAACATCACCAATGACTGACCTTTTGGATATTTTTGTTCTTCTGTGCACAAAGAAAGACTGGAGCGGTTCTAGTGCCTATAGGATTCCTGGTCACCTCTCTGACCAAGGACCTTCTTTAATTTATCAGTGGACAGTTCTGCTTTCACACAATATGTTTCTATCAAAATGCAGAAAGCGGTCTAAAATTAAGAAATTAAAATTATATAATATATGTAAAAAAAAAATCAGCAAAAACTTTGACAGCAACATTAAAACTTTAAATTAAAATGACATGAAGGACAATAAATAAATAAATAAATAAATAAATAAATAAATAAATAAATAAATAAATAAATAAATAAAGTTAAGTGTTGTTCTACACGTGTTGAGCAACACGTGTTTCATTCCTGTCGCGTTGCCTTCACGGTTCCGATTCGTAATCGCGTCGCTCTGTAACGAGATCTCGCGGCTCCCAGCGCTGCCTCTCTCACCGCTCTACCAACTTGTCACCAAAGATGGCGATTTGCTGAGTGCTCATGGATACACACATTTGTCGGTTAGCTCCCGTCTTACCCGAAACGCCAACTTTGAAAACAAACTAAGTGCTCTGCGAAGCAACTGTTTCTCCATCGGAAGGAAATCTGACAGGACGTCAGCCGTCAGCGACCATGCAGATCACGCTGAAAACACTGCAGCAGCAGACTATTCAGATTGAGATAGACCCCGAACAAACGGTGAGTGGCTACTTGCTAACTAGCGCAACTAACGTTGCTAGCTGTTTCACTAGTGTTTTAGTTTGCGGCGGACCATGCAGTTTTGAGTGGTTCGTTTATTCGCGTAATTTCGGCAAAAGTGGGGCGTATTTAGCGCACATTGGCAGCCCTCCTGAAATTCCGAAACAACGCGACACCTCAAATCTATTACGGGCTAACTTTAGCTGGCTAATGTTGCTGCCGTTAGCATGACAGCATACCAACAAAGTCCCTCCGACGCGGCCATTAATAAGTTATTTGGCATTCTAAGTTTGTCGCCTGGGCATGAGGTGGTTGTTGCTCATTTTATGCCACGACTTGACGCAGTTTTTGACCCTGGAAACCCAATACTTACAACATGAACAAGGGGGACGCTAATGCTAATGCTTATGACTCTGCCAATTATGATTAGCTGTGCAGCTAGCACAGTGGGCAGCTGGCTCAGTTCAACATGCTCTCGACTGTGGGGTGTATCATGTGAGTCAAATGCTAAAGACCAGTCGGCTCTTTTACTGTGGTGTTACTGAGAGTTATTCCTGTATTTGGACTTTATAGAAGAAGACGCAGAGAAACGCAAAAGCTAGGAGTCGAAACTAAAGTTTTTATTGAGGGGGGGTGTCACTGCTCAGTCATTTCAGAAATGTAGTTGGGCTGTTTTGAATGAGGCTTCAGCTAGCTTTTCAGTTCTCTTGTTTGAAGTATTTTGGCACTAAACAGAGTGCCTTGTAATCAAATGCTTTTCTACTTTTTCCACATTATAATCTGGTGAGTGTGATTTTAATTCAATTTTATGTGATAGACCAAGGCAAATTAGTGCATAGCTACATAATTTCTTTTCATAGTTTTCCATTTTTTCATAAGCAAATGAGTGGAACGTTTTTATATTTGTATTTATTCTGATTCGTCTATGTCAGACTTTGTGCTCAGAATCATTTATTTTAATCTCAGCATAAAACCAGCTGTTCTGCGAATCCTCGCAAGTTTATTAGAGAACAAACGCCATCATGCAGAACATGGAGTAAATTAGCACACATAGAACATAAAACAATATGTTAAGCTTTGAACAACTCATAAATTGCGGTTCAGTCCATCATCCAAAAACTAGAAATGGTGTGACACAAACCGCGAATCTGCCAAGCTACGGCTGCAAACCTCAACTAACGCACTAGCTGAGGAAAGCGTTTAACTCTGGAGGAGCAGCAGCAGAGATCCAGAGCTCAGTTTCATTGACCAGGTTACTGGTCAGGTTTTTTACTTATAACTGATGACCTAAGTATTTGGTTCTTGTGTGCTGAAGCAAAGACATGTGTGAAAGTTGCAGAACGCAATACTGGCACATGGTAGTGACAGGATCATGCTGTGGGAAGGGCAAAGGATGGGATGACGGATGGAGCCAGGATTTGAGATGAGGGCGGAGGTTGACTTTCCTGCACGACAGCATATTTGTGTTAGAATGGCCCAGTCAAAGTACAGACCTAAATTGCAATTGAAAAGGTATTGTATTGAACTTGTGTCTTACAAATGCGCAAAATATTTTTTTTTATCCTGCAGTTGAGCAAAGCTTATATCTTCTACTTGCATATAGCCAGAATAAAACTCCATGAAAGTGTTTGAATCGTGACAGAATGAACTAAAGGTCAGACTTTCTGAGTCCACAGAAGGTTTTGAATCCGTGTCACCTGCCGTCATGCTTCTCGTCTGCTCTCGTTCATCAGGTGAAGGCCTTGAAGGAGAAGATCGAGGCTGAACGGGGAAAGGACAACTTCCCCGTTTCTGGGCAGAAGTTGATTTATGCAGGGAAAATCTTGCAAGATGACACGCCTATTAAAGACTACAAGATCGACGAGAAGAATTTTGTTGTCGTGATGGTGTCCAAGGTGAGATTAGGGATTAATTCAAGGCTGATTGTTCATTTCACATAGATTTTTTTTCACATGGATTTTCTGGACTAAACGTCTGTTTTAGTCCAGCATTCCTGTATAATCTGAAATTATGAAATATAATTCTATTTATTCTCTGGATTTTGATGATAACGGGTAAATGAGAATTGGCTTTTGGAAATTTTGTGAATTTTTCAAGTTTATTTCTTTTTTATGCAATAGTTTTTCACAGTGGGATTTATGTTCAGATTGACTTTCTTACTTCTGTCTGACGTTGCATTGCACCTTGATTTGAATATTTTAATCAATATTCAGTTTTTTTCAAATACTGACTGAAAGTGTGCTTATTGAAAAATCCGATTGTGAAATGAATCTGTGGTTCTTAAACTGGGTCTGGAAGACTTCAAACTTTGGGGGGGGGAATCTATTTACTGATGCAGTCATCAGTATTCAACATTTTTAAGGAATCAGCATTTTGTCTTTTAAAATCCTCAATTCCTTCAGTTATTAGACAAGTCTGTTTTTTTTTTTTTACTTTGTATGTTTTTCTTTCCTGAGTCTGTTTGCAACAAAACGTTTGACGGTTCTTTGATCACTTTCCAATACATTTAGCATCCACTGCTGCATCCGTCTGACAGACTTTTGTGTGTTTTTGTTTTTGTAACTTTTGACTTTAGATTTTTCAGACTCGGTTTAATCTCTATTTTTTTTGGCCCATTTTGGCAAAAAGAAGAAAAAAAGAAGAACCTTTCTATTAATTATACACACATTGATATATAATGTTGCCTTATTACACAGATGAATATTACCTTCTATGCTTAAGGTGACCCGTTATACTTCCTTTAACTGGTTGGAATAGACAATAGACATATGCAAAACAAGTTAATGACATTTCTTTGCAAAAAAAAAAAAAGATCATTTTCTCTTAGTTCTTCCTATTTTAAGCTCCTTTCAGAATCAGCTGTTTTAGCTGTTTTAGAGTGTCTTGTCACTTTAAAGCCAAATAAGCTGCTGCTGGCCCCAACCCAGTATTTACACTCACATAAAAATGCGAGTGTAAATACAAATTATACAAGTGGACATCTTTCAAAAGCAGAAGTGGAGCCTCCTGCACAACCAACCAACAATGGTGCAGCGATTAGTTTCTGGATGCCAAGTCAGCAAATATCGCTTGTCTTTTTCAGCAGCCATTGTAGAGCGGTAAAACCAGCTGTAGCTCCACTTGGGTTGCTGGGTGACTCAAAAATCAGGAGTTTGTTTTTAAATAGCTCATTTTCCAGGCACCATGTGGCACCGACTTATTACCCAAAAACAGATGCATGTTTGTTTTTAAAGCACTTGGGCTGTTTTTAGAAGCAACAGAAACACCAAGTGGAAATAAAATGAAAATGAGCAAAATGTCAATTTTTTTCATAATGGGTTAATAGGTCACCTTAAATCAATGACGTTTTTCCCTGTTGGAGTTAGAAAATATGCCTGAAGATGATGACATGGGCAAATCCTCACCTGGCTGATAATTGCGCTCACAGTGTAAGGCTGTAGAAATCTGTTTGTTTATTTAAGGAACCTGCAGGTGAAACTAAATTCAGACATATTAAAGGTAGAATGTGCAAACAAGCATGGAAAATTGTGGAAAAAGTTTTGATCCTGTGCTGGAAATTCTGTAACAACCTTGTTCCCAGAACTCTTATTGCTCTCGTGAGTTGAAATGTTTTCTTTTTGTTTTCTAACACTTTTCTCTTTTGACTGTTTTTGAATTAATAAAAGGCTAAACCTGCAGCTCCAGCCTCACCGCCAGTCTCAGAAGCCCCCAAGCCGCCTGTACAAGACTCTGGCTCCACCTCCACCCCCGCCCCGGCTACAAACCCAGCTCAGGCCCCGGTCCCCGCCCCGGCCCCGGCCCCCACAGCTGTCCAAATTTCTTCAGAGGAGGCCAAACCGGAGCCCAACCCGGCAGCCACAGAACCCCAGCAGCCAGCCAGGTAGAGCTGATGTGGAAGAGAAACGGCAACCATTTCGAATTTCATTTCTTTGTTTTAAGAACTAATTCCATTTCCATGTTGTTCTCGCAACATGGAATATTGATTCCTACCATATTACTGTTCCACTCATGTTTGATATTAAAAGGCTACAGGATTTCAGGTCCCTGCACAGCTCAGCTGATGATTTGGTCTGAAAAGTCTCTAAATCCTGGAGCAAACCAGTTTAAGTCAACAGTTTTCTGCTGAAGTGAAACTTTTATTTGTTCTCCATGTGCTAAAGGATCAATGTTGCATATGTGAAGGGAAAGAATGTAAAAGGGAATGGATCTACAGGAACAGTTTTATTTTAATCAAATCAAAGTTGACTTCAGACAATCACTGCAGCCTGCTTTAGTTAAATGTTGTCTTTATTCTGGCTTTTTCTCTTGTCAAACATTGTGGTGATTTATTTTTTTAATCTGCTGAACTGAAATAGATTTTCTTATGTTTGTTTTACAAGTTTAGGACTTTTTTTATTTAAAAAAAAGCCCATTCTTATCTGTTTCTGTTTCAAACATTTGAATTTGCTGAATTACTTGAATCAAAATGTTGAATTCTCCTCTTGCTAAATTTGGTTTTAATAATATTTATTTCTAAGCTGCTTTTCACAGACATAGCATCATTTAAATATGCCAACTTTTGAGTTACACAAATAATTTTATTCGTTCTTTTTTTAAAAAGAAAATCGGACTTCATCTCTCTGGTAACGGATGACAAAGTCAGAATCTTCTTTCAGGCATGAAGCTCAACTCTCAGTCTAAAATCTCATGTTTGTTGGTGTCTTGCAGCTCCAGTGGTGTCAGTCAGGGCCTGGACGCCTCCTCAACGCTCGGTAGGTACCACACCGCTTCAACGCACAGTAGCCGCTGCCGCTTGCTCACCCCAACGGTTTTCGGACCTTGTCATTGAAGGTGTTGTCGCGCTGCTGCCTTTTTCTCTCCACATTGTCAGCCAGCAGCTGTCACTGCTGTCATTTGGGGGACTTTACAGGCTGCGCTGCTTTGCGTGCCGCATCTATGTTTAGAGGCTGACAACAGCGAGCCCTTCCGTATCGCGGCGTCACAGAGAGCAATGAGGGGGATTCCTGTTTCATCCTCAGACAGAAAGGGGAAGCGGCGTCCGTCATGCCGCCGGCCCACATTATGCTGGGGAGGACTGTTACTTTTTAGAAGTGGCGTTCTCATAGATTGGCTGATATAAACCTTATATGTGACATGAATAAAATTCTTCTTTGCATTTCCTATTTTTTGTGTAGTGGTCTATTTAAAGGCCGGGTAAACTTAGCCTCAGACTAACAGTTGTCCTCCAAGCATCTTTGCTGTGAATGCAGCTTCTAGATGCAACAATTTTAGCTTTAGATTGACATCACCCCTGATTGTGTCGCTGCTTTTGCAACATCTGAAAGCAAGTAGGAGTCTTTAGAAAAAAATCTATTTGCTGTAGAACTGAGTCAAAACCAAAGCCTCTGACTTTCCTGTTGTGCCTGATGAGAAACAATTTCTGTCATCAAGAGATCTGTAGTTTGTTGAGAAAAAGCAAACATCAAAATTATTCCTTTATTCATTTCTCAGAAAAGCTTTTGGTTTAATTTGGTTATGTTATTGTTAAGCATTTCAGTCCTTAGATAAGTTGGAGTTAAAATGTTGTCAATTTCCAGTTCTTATATATGTTATCCTTTATATTTTTTCAAAAGGAAATGCCTGCAGCTGTATGATTTCTTGCTAAAGTATTAACTGTGTCATGAAACAAACCTCTTTATGTCAATAAGTGACTTCATTAGAGCTGATAAATGTCTCATACGGGGTACCACAGGGTTCCACCTTGGGCCCCTTTAGATTTAATGTCTACGCTCTCCATTTAGCTCAATTATAACAAGCAATTTTAGTTACCATAGCTATGCTGAGGATACACAGCTCTATATTAGTGTCATCAGGTGACTGAACTCAAATGTTCAAATTGAATAGATGAACAAATCATCCAATTCATATCTAGAAATATGAAATCAATAAATCCCACTTGTGAATTTTCTGGTTTTCCTGTGCATTTTTAAATAAAAAAAAATGAATTAAACTTTGAAAACTAAGATGTAAGAAGCTAAGTTTTGGTGCAGTTCATAGATTTTTAAAGCAGTTGTTTTTCTAATATCAGTCAACAGTTGAAGTATTTCAACAGTTTTTGCTGACTCATGCCTGGCGCTCCAGTTGAAGCCAATAAAACAGAGCATTTCTTTCCTGCTGCCGTTGTGTCTGCAGTGACTGGAGCCGAGTACGAGGCCATGCTGACAGAGATCATGTCTATGGGCTACGAGAGGGAGCGAGTGGTAGCTGCACTGCGGGCCAGCTTCAACAACCCTCACAGAGCGGTGGAGTACCTCCTCACTGTACGTCTCACACACTGAACTACTAACCGTTCTAGGAAGAACTCCAGATTGGTTTCTGACCGTGTAATCAGTTCAGAGGTCAGAATCGATCTGGACCGTGGACTCTGACCTCTTTGTTCTGATTTAACGTCGGGTGTTTGAGTCTTTCCAACCACAATCCAGGAAGTGTGCAGCTGTGTGTGTGATTGATGTGCACTGTTTGGTTCCCAGGGTATTCCCAGCAGCCCGGTTCAGGAGAGCAACCCACCGGCCCAGGCCCCCACATCTGGCCCCACGGAGCCTCCGTCTCTAGCAGAAGGTACGATGCAGCTCTTTGTCTTCCGACTGAGAAATGAAACTCATTTCTGTTGGTTTATCTGTATGATGGGATTAAAAAAAACACATTTCTGCTTGAAATGTGAGATTAGGTATGAGCTTTTCATGCTCAATGCTCTGATCAGTTTTCCTAGAAACCCTTAGGAAGATCATCAGTTGGCTTTAAAAGATGGAGGATGCTGCTGTGCATAATGCAGAAAGAACCAGAGAGTTCTGATGAGGAACGCTTTGGGTTTATAGGAAACCCTGTTAGAAAATGTGTGTGTGTGTTTCTGTTCATGTCGTAGTGATTCATAACACACTAATAATAATTTAGACTTTAATGGCTCTTGAAGAGGCAGTTTATGCACCAGCTAAAGATCCTGAAATATCTTATAGTAACAATAATACATTTTATTGTTTATTTGTAACACTGATGACAACAGTGATGGAGTAATACAGTGAAGTGTTGGTCTCTGCTGGTGCTGCTCCGTTTGCTGAGGTGAAGTCAGAACTCGGATCTGGGAATGACATTAAAAATAAACTCCATGGAGATTTCTGTCTTGTTTTGTCCAGTAGCCATGGTAACTACTGTAAACAAGATATATTTCTTTATTTTGTTCCTTTAAACTCTGCAGTGAAGCTAAATTAGCTGTGTGTCCTTGTATTGGTTACATTTTAAGTTCCAGTCTAGTTTCACTGCTGATGCAGATACTGCAGTGTGGAGTATTGACCAGAACTATACACAGAAATGTTTTGGGTTTTTTTCAAACAGTGTTGGCATGGCAACCCTGGCTGTGTGATCTACTCATCCTTGGTGTCCAGGGCTGTTGGATCGTTCATATTTTTTGTTTTGACGTTTCTCAGCGGTTGCTTGGTTGTGTTTTTTGTGTGTCTTTTGTGTGTGTGTGTGTGGGGCCCAGCAGGTGAGAACCCACTAGCATTCCTGAGAACCCAGCCGCAGTTCCTGCACATGAGGCAGGCCATCCAGCAGAACCCGGCCCTGCTCCCAGCACTCCTGCAGCAACTGGGCCGAGAGAACCCACAACTTCTACAGGTAACACACACACACACACACACGCACACACGCACCTGTGTGTGTTATTGTGTGTGTGAAGAAGGGCTGTTGTCAATGAATATTTCAGTAATTGAGTAATCCATTGATTATTCTTAAGATCAATAAGAATAATCTATAGATTATTCTTATTAATCTTAATTGGATGAAAAAAAAATCAAAAGTAAAATATTGGTAAATCTGGCATAACACCAGTGCTAGTAAGGATATCAATATCAGTCCAATTTTTCATTTTTGAGCGTCCCTAACAGATTTCTGCAGTTTAGAAAACTAACCCATAACAATAACAGCTCACTCTCTAAGTTAACCTGCAGTAATACAAAGATCTGAAATGATATTCAATTCAATAATAAAGAGGCAGGCTCACAAATACACTGATAAAAAATGTCTATGCTCCAGGTTTTAGTTTCTTCTTCTTTAGTGACATGTCAAGCTTTGGGTTTGAGAATACGGAAAATGTCGCCTGGAGTGAAAGCAGACCAGGGGGGACGACCGGTAGACCAGGGGGGACGACCGGTAGACCAGGGGACAGACGACCGGTAGACCGGGGGGACGACCGGTAGACCAGGGGCCAAGAGCGAGAACAGGGGCAGCAATACAGGATATTTATGGCACCTTCGTTCGTCACACTCAGAAACTCGTTTTACCAGCCAGTACCACCATCATGATTTCTGCCTCCCGTTTGTTGAGACTGTGATCATGATCATATGAAGTCTATTGTGCGATACGTCCAATAGATTTCTTACACTGTAACCATCAGCTACTCAGCCTCCGGCCGTGTTCAGTCTGTATATTTACTCCTGCTTCGCTCTGAATTAACAAAGTTTTAGGGCAGGTAAATATTCCTCAAGGAATTTTAATAATGGAGGCACTGAATCGTTCAAGGAATCATTTCAAGTGGGAGGAAAATGATGCATGCTGCTTTTATATTGATACCCTAAAATAAAAATCCTTTTCAATGTCTCCTGAGCAAAAGGACTCAAATGACATCGGCAGGAACTCCGCCTCTTTCTGTCTGCAGCAAATCAGCCAACATCAGGAGCTGTTCATCCAGATGCTGAACGAGCCGGTGGGAGAAGGAGGCGACGCCCCGGAGGTCGGCGAGATGGGAGCGGCGGGCGAAGAGGGCGCGCCCGTCAACTACATCCAGGTCACACCACAGGAGAAGGAAGCCATCGAAAGGGTGAGTCCAGGAGCTGAAGGCCACTGGCCGATGACTGCATCACAAATGTTTCTGGATGATAAATTGTCCCAGAAGGAATTGCGATAAACGATAATATTGTTGTTTTGAAACCATTTTAAAGTGATCTATTGTAGAACGCGTTCTTAAAATTCTGGTGAACATTCAGCGCTGGAACTGGAAGACATTTAAAAAATCCAAAATGAACAAAATAACAGGAACAACAAATTGAATGAACTATGAAGTTGAGATTGTCCTCTGATAGAAGTGCCATTTGAGGCCAAAGCGCCAGACTGAAGACTTTTGTGATCCAGTTTTTAGTCGAAAGTGAGAAAAGAGAAAAACAAATTTATTATGTGATTAATTGATTTATTGCTTATTGCAAAAGACCTGCCAATAACCAATCGTTAAAAAGCCTGACCATTAAGTTCCAGTTTTTTTTTTCTGTCTGAGGAGTCACAGTTGGTAACAGAGCTTTCCAGAGGTGGATAAAAAAATCTGTTGAAAACACCAAATCCCATATTGCAGTGCTGCTTCCTGGTGCTAACCCTGCCTCGTCTCCTCTTCTGTCTCCTGCTGTGTCTCCTCCTCTGTCTCCTGCTCTGTCTCCTCCTCTGTCTCCTCTTCTGTCTCCTGCTCTGTCTCCTCTTCTGTCTCCTCCTCTGTCTCCAGTTAAAAGCTCTGGGTTTCCCCGAGGCGCTGGTCATCCAGGCCTACTTCGCCTGCGAGAAGAACGAGAACCTGGCGGCCAACTTTCTCCTCAACCAGGGACTGGAAGACGACTGAACAGGAGCAGACCTCTGCCCCCTCACACCCCCCGCCCCCACCACCATCACCACCACCACCACCCCTCTCCTGCCCCACCCATCCCTCCGCTCCCCCCTTCCTCAGCTCAACATAAAGACTGCACCCCCTGATCTTACTGTACGACCTCAGCTCAAGCAGACAGGAGGGAGGGCGGGGCCGGTTGGGGGGTGGAGGGTTGAGGGCAAGAAGGTCAGATTATGGGAGTAGAAGTGGGGGGCGGGAAGGGGGGAGAAAAGTGTGGAAGAATGATGAAATCCACGTGAATTCCAATGGAATGAGTGGGGTCAGCTTAGGGGAGATCTGTACTTTGATTTTAGGTGCGCTTTGTGAACATTAGGGAGGGGGAGGGGCGGTGGTGTGTGTGTGTGTGTGTGTGTGTGTGTGTGGTTGCGTGCTCATGTCTGCGTGTGTGAGAGTACATGTCTGTATGCCTGTGCAAGATGGATGAGACACAGTCAGGCTGAAGAAGAAGAAGAAACCCAACAACAATGTAATCAATCTGGCATCCTCTAAGGTCGTTAATGCTGTAGCTCGGTCAGTCGGTCAGTTTGTACGGCCGCGCTGTGACCTCATCATCAGCGTGTGTAAAAAAAAAAAAAGGAAAAGAAAGGAGAAAAAAAAAACAAACTGCTTTGTGTGTATCTCTGTAAGCCTCACGTCCGACAATGAAATTAGAAGAAGTGACGGACTGGACTGTGCTGCCCTTTATTTTACTTTTCTTTTTTCAATTGTTTTTTTTTATTGTTTTTTCTTTTTTTTTAACATCGCTCTCTGTCTCAACATGTTTCTGGGGTCATGAAGTCAAAATAGGAACAAAACATCACAGAACAGGATCTTTAATAATCAGTTAAACTCCTGAACATCAGAGCGGGATGTGAAGAGTCCACACACACACACACACACACACACACACACACACACACACACACACACACACACACACACACACACAGACACACACACAGACACACACACACACAGACACACACACACCACACACACACACACACACACACACACACACACAGTGCCTGCCTCTTCATCACATCTAAAACCCTGGTATCTGTTCCTGGTTCTTTATGACACTACATATTAAATACTGACTGCACATGCTACTCTCCTCCGACAGCTGTGGTTTCATTCTGAGCTCATCATTCTGATCAAACATTATTACTGATGGCAACTTGATCCTAAAACAGACGTTTGCTCGGAAACGGAACAACTCGTTGTGTCTCAGCTGGGCATGGGCCGACAAAACTCCACACATCATCCAGATCACTGTTACAGAAAACGGCTTGTTTTCTGTAACGGTGAAAACAGATTTTGGTCAAATGAAGCTTGGTGTGAAGGAACTATAAAAAAAGAACTAATTGCAAGCATTAAAAAAAACGAACAGAAAGGTAAGCAAAATCAGTGAAGTCCTGTTGAGTATGTGACAAGGCCCTGATTCAAATAAAACACAATGATTAGTCAAATTGAGCTAATCATTGTTAGTGATTAGTCAATGCACCGAACCGATGCACCGATCGGGCCGATTTCAACCTGATCCTAATTTTTATTTTTTCCCTTGCAGATGGTCCCATGTAAAACGGGAACCAATGTGCTCCGGGATATTTGAATGCATCAGCAAATGAAGGAACCGCAAGATTTAAATATTCTTATTCATGGCTCTAATGTTGATCTAACTTTTCGTTCTATATCTTAAGAACTTGTTGCTTGTTTCTAGACTGCATTTAATCAGCAGTGTAGAAAACTGGCAGGTTTCAACAACCTGCCGATCCAGGGAAAACCACCTCAGGTCTTTTATTCAGGATTTAGCGCCAAACATGCTAAGGTTAGCTGGATAATTAGGCTATCTCTGGTTAATTAGCCTGCATCCAGCTGACCTTAGTCTGCAACTGTAGTAGTAGTAAAAATACAAAAATCTTTACCTGACTGATGGATGACCCTTTGACCCCAGGCCATGTCCATGTTTTCATCCAGCTCTTTGCAGTGAGCTTGAAATGATAGAATAATGAACCTTTTGTTGTTTTGTTTTCATCCTTGACTCTGCTGGCGGCCTGTGCCCAGTTTGACCACATGAAGTGTTCCCTAAAGAGAACCATGAACCAGTGCAGGACGTTCCTGCTCTAAACGTTCCTTTCTCCTCCAGTATCCAGGCTTTGGACTGAAGGTGTCGCGTTCTTCCCCTCAGCTGTACTCTTTAAATGTTTTTTCGTTTTTTTTTTTTTGACTTGGATCACTGAAAGAACCGGTCGTGTCGGGTTTAAAGCGGGATAAGTGCAGGAACGCTCCCTGTCATGAAGGCTCGGAGAACCTCGCTGCGACCCGGGTTCTGTTCTTCCACTGAGCGTTAAGGACTCCCCGTAAGAAACCTTTGATATTTTAGCTTTTACTTTTGAAGACTTCTCACCCGTGGAATTTCCATTCAAGGTCCGATCCTAACCCGACCATCAGTGAACTACTTAGGACTTGGAACCCGCTTTTCTTTTTTCAGAACATGAAATATTCACGCTAACGTTCTTATTGTAGATATCTAAGCATGAAGGACAAGGCCCTGCTTTGTTTTATGGGGTTCATGATAAACGCTGTTACAGGTAACACAAGTGCATTCTGTGTCTCTGTGTGTGTGTGTGTGAAGGCAGCCTGTACTGATTGTTGTCCTACAGCATCAACATGATCTTAGACTATGCTGTGCTACATTAAATATCAGCAGTCTTTCAGCTCCCTGACTCTGTGCCTTCACATCTCGTCATCCACGTCTCACTGATCAAACAGCTGCAGCTCAGTTAGGATTTCATCCAGCCTGGGTTTGCTCCACCGATTCAGTCGTGGAAGGGAAGCTATTGAAATTTGCAGCTTAATAAAAAGATTTTCATTGCATACGTTCTGATGATTGTTTCACAACTCGGAGCCCGAAATTGGAATTGATAATGAAACCTTCAAAGGTTTTTACTCCAGAAAGGGTTCTGTGTAGGTTAGACACGGATGGACACCTTTTCATTTGGTACCGCAAGACTTTTTACAGATAAACATCATCGACCTACTTTTACCCGAGCCGAAAGCGTTCAGGCCAGTTAAGGAAGTTATCCAGCATAAGGAGTTAAAAACCTCTTATAACGCCATCATGCAAACCTTTACGTATGTATCTACAGCAATGTAAAAGATGACTTTGTTTTTTTAGCAGATAAAATAAAAAAAGGCACAAAAAGTTTTTAAAATACTTTGTTTCGGTCCCCAACTGCTTTCATCTCAATGGTTTTGGTCGTCGTGGCAAACGTGCGCGTCGACTCTGGGGATCTTTTTGGGCGAATTACTGCATCAGTGCGGTGTGGCGCAGACATGATACGACTGGTTCTGAAGATATTTCTAAGGCTTTGGGACGCCATCGAACCACGGTGAGAGCCATCGTTTTCTCTAGCTGGAGGACGGACGCAGCCCCCGGTGAACATTCCCATGAAGACGGCGCTCCGGTGTTATTCCAGAGCGACCAGGAAACCACCCAGAACATCTGAATCTCTGCAGGTCTGGTTAAGATCAGAGATCATATTTTAACTGTAGGAAAGAGATAGTGGGCAGAAATCAACCACTGCTGACCCAAAACAATGAAGGTCAAAGAACTGAGAACAAACAACCATGGTGGGCCTCCAGGCTAAGCATTATTTAATTTAAGAGGTTTATTTAATGCACCAGCTCCAGCAATAGCATGGCTTAAGCTATGCTAGGTTAAAAGTTGCATGCTGTATTAGGTGAAAGTTTCACTTTTTAAATTGAATAAAAGTTGTCTACCATTCCTGACTTTAAAGACGGTAATTTAATTGGGCGATTTGTCGAAGCGTCCAAGAATGAAGAAACTTGATGCAACCGTGAGGCGCTTTAAAAAAAAACCCAAATAAACTCGGCCTCATTCTGGTGCCCATCATCTGGAAATCTTTCCATCACTGCTGCAGACAAGAGTAAAGAGCCAGTAGACCAGGGGTTACAGTCAAGAACATCCTTTTATTCAATCAGGTCAAGGCATTGCTCTTTTCAAACTGCTTTTTATTATTATTATGGAAAAGAAACTGTAATTAACACATGCATTTCACCACAGGCTCTGGGAGGGGGGGCCTGTGAGGACGGGATGCTGCTCTGTAGAAAGGATGGGGGAGATGAGAGGGGCGCCCTCTGCTGGAACTGGGTAAGAAGTGAAAGGACAACCAGGCGGGTTGGATCTAATCTGAGCCCAATAGAACATGTTGGAAACACACACACACACACACACACACACACACTGCTCTCTGCAATACGAGTCTCTCTGAAATGGCTTCTTGTGGCAGCTTGGCTGATTGTTTCATTAGACTGATTGCAAAGAAAAGCTCACAAAGTGTCAGCTTTGTGAGCTGATAAGTCATGTAGCAACTGTGCTAATTGGGCGAAATGTGAACCTTTCAACCATTGACTTCATCAGTTGCGACGGTTTTCTAGAACTTCTACTTTTAATGCTCTTCTGGAGGAACATCGACTTTAAACACTTTGCTCCTCTTCCAGAGTTGGACTCTGATCGAAGTTGATTCAATTCTAGAAAGCCGGAGCTTTTTCCTGACTGTTGAAATACTAAAGCCAGAAAGAAATACTGGTTTTATTTTATTGCGATTCAAGAACTGGATGATCACAGATTTAATCGGACTTTGGGAGATGCTCTAACAAATACTTCAAATCTCAAACTTTAAACACATTTAGCTTATGTGCAGCATTTGACTCGAGGAGATCTCACACTTTTCTACTTCTAGAGGCATTAATGTTGTATTTCGACATTTAGAGTCAGAAAATCTGACTTCAAAATACAGACAGACAATTTCCAAAAACCCGAATTACGACGTCGCTACACTGTTCCTAATAATTGTAAGACCATAATCTTCCATTTCAGCTTCTTGGTGAAGTTTTTTTTTCTTTTTAATGGTGAGATAAATGCCATTTTTTCTCATCACGTGCAAAGTAAGCTGTTCTTTCCTTAACTTTTCAAGTATTTGTTGGCCAAGTCTGTATTGCACTTGGGGGACAAAAAAAAATCATGATTTTCCAATCATTACTGGAGGGCAAAAAAAAAAAAAAAACAAGTAAAATATTTGAGTAAACGTGGGCAGAGCCTTATATTCCTTTCAAACTTTCTCACTCACACATCATTCTAAAAAAAAATTCTCTATGACAAGCATAAACCCCCGCCCCACCCAAAATGTCAGCCATCTATGCTAGCAGTCCCGCTGGTGATCACAGCTGGGTGTTCTTACCCCTCCACCAGGAACCGGCCCCCTCTCGTCGGCCCCGGACCCCCGCCCCGTGTCCTCGGCCCCGCCCAGAGCCTCGTGGTGTAACTTGTTCACTTACATTAGCTGTTGAATGGAGAAGCTGGAGAAGATGGGTATGGTAATACAATGTGAAGCGTACAGACAAGGATAACATGTGAGCTAATTGCATTCTGCTCAGACAAAAAAAAAAAAAAAAAAAACGAAACGAAACAAAAAATCTTTGCGTATTTTTTTTAAGTTTTTTTTTTTTTTTACATTTTTCTAATTTTTTTTTTAAACCGCGCTGCAGAGATAATAGGGAGGAAAGAAAGTTGAGGGGAGAGAGAGAAGGATACGCAGCTACAGACTACTCCAGTGTCCAAGATAAACAGACGACAAGATACAGAGGAAGAGAAGCAAGACAGAGATCTTTTTTAGGCTTTTTTTTTTCTTTTTTTCAGCTTTTCTATAGTATTGAACAATAAAAAGAGCAACTAAATCACACCAATTTCCTTTAGTACTATGTATACTGCTTGAAAAAGCTTCAAGAAGAAGAAGAAAGATATAGAAATATGAGGGAGGGGACTTATTTTCTTTTGAGATGGGCACTCAGGAATACAAGATGGAATCTGTGAACAAAAGGCACTTTTTAGGGACAACCTTTAAAGATGCTCTGAGTCTATAACACTACGTCACCAAACAAATATTTATCATCATTTACAGCTGGTGGGTGTTCGGGGGGAGGGCGACTCGGAGGGGGTTTTCTGTGGGGGGGTGGGGGGTGGAGGGGGGACGGGGTTGGAGTCGCTACTGACTCGGGACGACTGCAACCCCGCTGGCCGCAGACGGAGGAAATCCTGGAAGTGAGTCACAAACGAAGACGGCGTCGTTTACAGCACGTTTTTCTCTTTTGTTGTCGTTGCTGTTGTCATTCAGGAACAGGAATCCAGACTTGTGCATCTCCCGAAATATTGGGAAGATCTTGTCTTTGTTCCACATTAGGATCAGTGGTAGGTGGGATAGTGTCCGCAGGAAACAAGTGACAATTTTTACAAGTTTTTTTTTCTTTTCACAAGAGGACGTGTTTGTTGTTTGTTGTAAAGGTTTGGGAGAGGAAAAATGCCTTTTGTTACAACAACCTTTTCGTCCAATGAACACCCTCCTTCCCTCTCCCCGGTAAATACAAAGAAATAGAGTAATGCATGATTTCCTAAAAATTAGTTTTTATGATAACATTTCATTTTGTTTATTATTATTTATGTATAATAGAGACTGAATGTACTTTATTCATTTACGAAAGCACCAGTTTTCATAGTGATATATATTTTACGAGCTGCGAAATTGTTCCTTTAACTCCCGTCAATAAAAACGAATTTCTTTTCTTGAAAAAGTGATAAAAGGAAACAACGGAAAAACAAAAACAGAAAAACTAAAACAATGTCCCCCAAACTTTTTTTTTCTTCTTTCTCTTTTCTTTTTTTTATTTTTTTATTTTTTTCTTTCATCTCACCGCTCGTGTATTTAGAGTCCAGGAGCGTGTGGACTTGAAAAACAAACGAACAAACTGACAAAAAAAAAAAAAAAAAAAAAAAAAAAGGGAAAAAAAATCTAGAGGGTTTTCCTCCTTTTTCAGTTTTCTTTTCTTTTTTCTTTCTTTTTTTTGCATGACACCCTCAAACATTCTCTAACAAACACAATTCCTCTACCAAGGCATTGCACATGGCTCAATCAACATACATCATTTAGTTTTCAAGAACAATACTTCCCATCGAAACGATAAAAGAAAAGCAAATCTGTTCGTTTAATTTTTGACTCCTCGTCTACGTTAGCCGATACTCTGCGTCTCTACCGACGGGTCTGCGACGGCCGTGGGCTTCGACGGCTCCGATTAGCGGTTTCCAGATGCATCCTATGACTGTGTGATGTATGCCATGCTTCAAAAAATAACTAGACTGCCACAGAGCTTATCTTGCAAACTAAACAGGAAAAAAAAAGTATATATCTATAAATATATATAAAAGTGTATTATATATAAAGATGCTTGAGATTATCTAGTGAGCTGTCATTGTTTTTTTTTTCTCCTCCATTCGCTCCTGACATATATTTTTGTTTTTTTGTTTTTTTCATTTTTAATTACCATTCACTATAGCTTATATATGTGAGGAAAAAACAACCTGAATTCATGTTTGACAAATTGCATAATGGGAATACAGAGGCACTTCCTTTGATTCGAAAAGAAATCAGCCTACCGCCTTCGTCCAGCCGACCCAGCCCTCTCCACGCAGCGGTCAGCTCGGCCGACTGCGACTGCTTCCCCTGCGCTGAAGGAACACGGCCAGGCAGTCCAGTTATTTTGTGAGGTTGAATGGGCGTTCGGACTCAACGTGGGAGAACGTGCGCGCCGCGGGGGGGGGGGGGGATGGAAGAGGAGTGGGGGTTTATATGTAGAAAAAGAAAAAAAACAAACAACGTGACGAAGCGTAAAGGCCTCCACAGATTGTCTCGATTTAAGACTTCCCTTTGAAATCTGTCGTGCGTGGCGTCGTTGGGAGGGCTGCGTGATTAATACTGAACGGTTGTCACGAGTCGGATTTAAAACGTGACACGCCGAGTGATGATCCATCTACTGTCATGCTTACAAAAAAAAAAATCTTTTTTGACTTATGCAACTGGCTGGCATGATTGTATCAGTGCAGTTATTTGATCTATCAGGGCTCTTCTGGGCAGGGGGGTCATGGGGGGGAGGGGTAGGTAAGGGAGTGCTGGTGTGTGTGAGTGCATGCAATTGCGTGGGGCGTAACCGTGACGACTATTCCATTTTACTGTCACAGGCAGTTGGCAGACAAAACTGGCACACACGTTTGACTCTTGACCTCGTAGGCCTCCGTTAAGAAGAAGAAGAAGAAGAAAAAAAACCTCAGAAATGTAACGTAATCATTTTTCTCCGCAGTGTGGCCTCCTCGGCTCTTGGAGCAGCAGGCTGTCTGGGAGTGTAAACAACAGGACCAACTTACAAATTGTAATTCTTTTGAAATATACTCAACTAGATGGAGATCACAGAGCAGGTGTTTTCGTTATCGTCCAACGGCTTGTCTGTCTCCAGGAATAATAAAAAATAATTTAAAAAAGAAAATAAAAAATCCCGTGATTGTCAAAACCCCACTCGGTTTTTCTTTTCCTACAGTGAAGGGCCTTCTGGTAGGAGAACAATTAAATTGTGTCAATAAAACAATTATTCGGGATAATATGCTTCTTTGATTGCTGGATGAGGAAACTGATAACATGAACAGGAAGCTACAGCTGACAGCTGTTAGATCTAGTTGTGTGTGAGCCCTTTCTCTCACACACACTGAAGACAAAGTGTGTCCCTTTCACTTTTCACAAAACAAACTCAAATCCAAATTAGAGGACACTGATTTATTTTGAAGTGACATCCTGCGTTGACGTCTTCACTTGTTCCAGAGGCTGAAGCTGACACGTTTGGGACGGTCGAGGACCACGATCAGATTTTTATAAAAAGTGAATCCCTCCACCACATTGTTTTAAAAATGTCGTAGACGCCGGATCGTTTTCAGAAAACTTTTCATCCGCACCAAAATCCCACGGACACGGCAGTGAGCGTCGTCTTAAACATGCCAAACAGACAGGGGCTCAAAATTATGTCAGCCGACCAGAATCCCCACAACTTCCTGTTAGAATTAAGCATGCCGCCGAAAGGTTCATAAATAGGTTAAACTACGTTTAAATATATTGGAGGATAAATTTAATAAGACACAAGATGATCTGGACTGTGAGATCGCGTGGATATATTGCCGCGTTGTTTGTTGTAGACGGAAATACGTGAAACCCTGGAACTCAGTTTTTCCATGTGCTCATCCCAAACACAAAGGCAGTTTTCTCAAATCTCTACTTTGACTCAACGTTGACTCAACGTGGGAGAACGTGCCTCCCACGTTCTCCCACAGTCAGTCAAAATGTCAAGTAAATGCTAAGTGAATTAAAGTGCAATAACACCTGTAGCCACTAGGTGCTTTTTCCTAACGAGCTCAGACTTTGAGCTCGTCATCAAAAATTATGTCTCAGTAAAAGTAAAATCTACAGTTTCTGAAATTCAAGAGTTCGTAATCCAAACAAAAACCCCTCGGTCGGTCGCTGGTCGGTTTGCAGTGACCAGCGACTTTGGTTAGTTTTCCTAAATTATTGGTTTTTGGGATATAAAACTGAGTTTTTGTTTCCACGAAAGGCCCAAAAAATTCCTCCCAATGTCTGGCTAGGTACGGACTAGGCCTTAAAACAACTCCAATCTCACAAATGCTTTAGTGGTTCTTGCCAATTGTATTTTGTGAAGTTCTCAAGCAGAGGTAGAAGGCAGTCCACCGCCATTGATCGTCTTGTGTTCAATAAGCATTGAGAACCGGTGATTTTAACGACCAACTGCCAGCTCAGTAAGCTGCGAAGCACAGTTTACTGAAACCACAACAATATCTTTACTATCCACTGGTTTCATTTATCAAATTTTTTTTCCCCTCTTTAAGAGTTTTAATTTGGTCAAAAATATTTAATCATTTCTATCCAGAAACCTTTGGAAGCATCAAGTAGAATAAAAATAAAAATCTCTTTTCGGTTTGAAAAAGATGTTTGACCATGGATAAGCTGCTAGCTTCAGCCTCTGGGGCTAACGTACCAACTGCAGGAAAGACACTCACTACCTGCTGACACACTTTGAACAGAATTATTCTTTAAATGTTAACGATCACGACCCACTGTGAGGCTAATCATTAGCGCTAGTGATGCGTGCCATCGGAAGTGCAGATAAAGAGTTCAGCGCTCCGATCTTCACTACATGTGACAGGATCCAGTTCATTTGTCTCACATTGTGTCTCAAATTCTGCCTTCCAAGTGGAAATGGGCCCCACAGTCAGTCAAAATGTCAAGTAAATGCTAAGTGAATTAAAGTGCAATAACACCTGTAGCCACTAGGTGCTTTTTCCTAACGAGCTCAGACTTTGATCAGGCTCGTACTGAGGAATGGCAGGTCGCACGTATTTACTGTTTGACTCCCTTCTTCTCAAGCAAGTGATTGTCATCATTTTCCAGGGATTTTTAAGAATAAAAAAAGCCTCGCTTCTTAGTAAATACTCAGAAATTTAAAGTTGACTTGGCCGTATTCATCTCTTTACGCTGCTTTGATTGAGCTCCTGTCTGACCAGCTGCTCACTGTAGCTCCCCATGATACCAATCCCCACATCTAAAACAGCAGGTGGGCATATTCCTCAACTTTTTACAAGCACTTTTGTTTCTCTGGGTCAGCCAGCCGCTCCGCGTTCTTTGCCCCCCAACATACCTCTTCTTCTTCTCTCGCTTTAAGGTGCTGCCATTCAAATACAAAAACAATTAGAAAATAGTACAAATCCAAAAAGGAGTCAATTCAAATAAGAAAACAAAACACGCGAGGGAAAAGAGAATTCGTCAGCGTTCATCTATGTTACAAAAAGGGGACGACTGGGGGCCAAACTCATAGCTGCTGCCAATAGCGGTGAAATTTCTCAGCGTCCAGGACACCGATTGCATCGTGTGTGGAGGGAATTTACTGAGATTATCGGGTAAAAACCAAAGAAAAAAAACAAAAATAAAGGAGGAAAGCTTTTACATATACAAATAGAAATATCATGAGCTGAAAGGTGAGAAATCCTGCAGTCATGGCACACAGACTGACAACGTTGTGAGCGAAGGGGAGACCGGTGATTGGCTGAATTGAACCATGCCGGGTGGAGGACGCCTGAAGGCTTCTTGTACCTGGTGGTGTTTCCTTTTCGTAGAACGTAAAAATCATCTCGGCGAGTGTGGTTTACCTCCCATGCCTCGCAGGTAAATAGTGCACATCGTTATGGGTTAGTGTTGACTGATTCAGCTTGTAGTGCAACTTTAAATCAAGATAGGTTTTGGCGTGGTCGCTTGCTTATTGGAGCCAATCGGGTTTTGCTCTGGGGGGATGATGAGATCGCAGGAGCTGTTCTCACTGGACACTCATCGTCTCATTTGGGTTTTGGGTCCGTTGTGGGTGACGTTTTTGTAGCTTGTTGGTTTTATTCTCTTTTTTTCTTAGCCATTTGTTTCACAATGCGTCCTCGGAAAGCAGGAGAAGCTGACCGCTGCCCCGCATCCGCCTGTTGCTGCCGCATCGCTGCTGTGGTTCCCGGGCGAGAGGAGGCCCGCGTGTCGCGTCCTCCGCAGCTCCGTCTTCCTCCCGGCCTCCTTCGAGTCCACCCGGTTCGTCTTTCCCTCTTCACCCGAATCAGGTCCTCCCCCTTCTGACTGCGTGAACATGTCCAGGGTTCCACTAGAAGCGTCATGCGACTGTAATTTCCTGCGTTGCTTGGTTATATTTCATATCAGATGAGACGTACTGTCAGGGCTGGTCGGCGGGTTGGTAAGACAATTACTGTCGTCCTGCAGGTTGTTTCTCTGTTCTTTTTTTTTTTTTTCTCCTCATTTTGAATTGTAAAGAAAGATATCTACTTGCTGGTTTGTGCACAGATCTTGTCAGAGGAACCAAGACTGAAAGAGACAAAAAAGGGGAAAAAAGAGATGCAGTTAGTTTTGTGTTAAATGCTTTTGTAAATGTAAAAACAAGGTGAAACATCTTAACTACTGAATGACTCCATTTAATAGTGCACCAAGATCCTTGCAATTTCCAGCCAATTATAAACTCAAAAGTCCAGTCATTATTAACTCATTTGGCCTTTTGCAGTATTAACTCCTATTTGGAAAGCCTGAAAACCACTTAAAGGGAGCACAAAAACGTTTTTTTTGTTTGTTTGGTTTTTTTTTGTTGCAAAATTTAGGAAATAGTCAACTTTTTTTAATGCGATACATCAAAATGTGTATAAAAAGATGGATGCAAGTGTGGCTAGTGAGGGATCTAAAAACCAAATCATAGAAATGAGATGTGGAAACATTTTTAAAAGGAAACTGAATTATCTCTGACACACTGAGACGGGTTTATTCTTCATTCAAGCTGTGACAGAGAGCGAGACTTTAAGCCGATAACAGGAAGGCTAAGAAGAGTACAGCAAAGTGGGCTACATTAACCTAAATGCTTGCAATGGATGATTTTATTTCGAGTAGAGAAATATGTTTTTAGATTTTATCTTTAAAAAATCTTGCAATCTATTTATAATTTCAATTCAGGTATTTTCAAGTGCTGCACATTTGCTGACAGTGTGCTGGATTTGGGGACAGAAGTCCAGTTGGTGTTGTTCTGGCGTACTGCGAGCCTGCAGTAGCCTGCAGTAGCAGTAGCGTTGCAGCACCCGACCCTCTGTGTCACTCACACCATCTTCATGTCGGGTGTCTCCCAGTCGGCCTGAGCAGGGGGCAGAACTGGGTCGCTGCTGCTGAAGTTGGCTGCCCTGCTCGGCCTGCGGGATCTGCCACCGACGGCTCAAGTGCCAACATTCTAAAAGTCAAGCCTTGGAAACTCCTCCGCTCCTCCGGGAAAGCGGCCCTTTTGTTTTGTTTGACTCTAACAGGTCGCATGAATACAATCCCTTCCCCCTCTGCCCTTCTCGGCTCGCACACTGCCCGGGGCGGTGGGGGCACAGCGGGCCCCGGCGGGCCTCGGCGGGTCCAGGGCATTGTAACTTCTCCCTTCTTAGTTCCTCTGCCTTCCACCCATCTATCTCTTGTAAGCATCGCCTCTAAATCCTTGGCAGCAGACAGTGACCACCCTCTTTTCTTTCCCCGGATCCTTCTCCAAGCAAGACCCGTCTCAAATTCAAGATCAACCGGCTATGACATCATGTCTGGTCACCCGGGGTAACGAGACGGCCGAGACTTTGAAGCGGGCTGAAAACTCGGGTTCCCTACACCAGGGTCTATAGATGCGGGGGCCCGCCTGGGAGCACTGTGGGGCCCTCCGAAGGTCGGAGGATGAGATGACAAAAATAAATACATTTTTTAATTCAAATTTTTTTTGGAATTTTTTTTTCTGTCAATCTTTTGTTTAACTCTAAAACATAAGTAACAAAAACTGATTTAAATGTTACTTCTGGTGCTCGTTTTCTACTGTAGCTCACAGGAAATGGAAAGGTTTCCGATAAGGACGCCTCTGTAAAAACCACAAAAACTGTGGGAATAAAATTTTTAAAAAATGATGTGATTAATATAAAAGATCACGTTTTCTTATGATCAAAAAGAAGGAATTGTGATAAAAAAAAATTGTATTATCTGGTAACAATTCATGGTCATCTAAAATCTGATCACACAATGCAGCATTTCTGCTAAATGAATGTAATAATTATTGAATAATGACAAAAGAGGTTGATGCTCTTTGGGGACCAAGGCTTGGGAGGCTCTGCACTGTTTGGGATCTTGTTTCTTTTCTCTTCTGGTTGTAAAGCAACACACTTGCCACTAGAGGGCATAAGAAGGCCACAGCTGGTAGCTGAAGCTTTCCGTGCAGCCTGACCTCTAGTCACCACGTAGACACTTTCGCCCCAAACCTCTCTGCTATTTTGTGAAGACCTGAGTTTTTATCCTGCTTAAACGCAACAGAGTGCAAATCATCCCAGCTCTAAAGACCCGTGGAATATTTGCAACATTCAGGACGTGCTAGCGAATTTCAGTAACGGTAGAAAAAAAAAAAAAACGAAATACTGACGGGGCAAATGAGTGAAAATGGCACAAAGAAGTGAAACTGAGAGGAGCAGAAACGAAAAGCAAGACAAAGCGAGAGAACGAAGGGCAGAGAAATAAGGGAGGGAATCCTGAGATGGTTTCCATGTGTGGAGGTGCGGGGCTGAGCTGGCTCCAGGCGGGTGTGGTTAGACACTAATGAGAAAAGTACTGGTGGTAATGGTGGAGGCACAAGGAGAGGGGAGGAGAAGGGGTTGGGGGGGGGAGATGCAGAACGGCGATTTTTAAGAAAGCGCAGAAGGTGAAAGAGGCGAACAGTAAAAAGAGGAGAATTAAATATGAGCGAGCAAAGTTTGAGGGATGAAGTAGGTGAAGTGGAAAAGTGGGGGATCGGGTGGAGCAGGGATAGGGAAAGGTAGAGGGAGAGAACGAGGGGAAAACAAAAAAAAAGGCAGTGAGGGGAAAAGGGCCGTCTGCCTTGAGGGCAGGCTGCGTACATGCCAAATAAACAGTTGAGCACATATGGTAAACCACACACGTACAGTAAAATACAGATGTACAAATGCACACTGATGGTGCGCTGTGGGTTGGTGTAACTGGAGAGGTGGAGGAAACCCTGCAGCAGGTTTCTCAGAGCGAGGGAGTAAGGAACTCTGGCTCACATCCACTCATTTAATACGTTTCCTGAGTTTCACCAGTAATTACAGTGGAGGCAGATGAGCTTCCTCTAACGGTTTAACCATGGAGAGTGGTTCTGGGAGTGGACATCCCTCACAGCTTACCTGTGTCTGCTGCGGGATGTTCAGAAAGTTGTTGTCCCGTGATCCGATGCCGACAAACCTGTTGGGAGCTGTGGCGCCTGGCGTGGAGTATGCTGTGGAAACAGAGCACACACCACGCTGGACATAAGTGACCTTTCGAGTAACCGGCCCCGCAACGTCAAGTTCAATCCTGTCCAATTTGGTGTATTTATATAGAGCCGAGTTACAACAGATGTTATCTCCAGGCACTTTCCAAAAGCAGGCCAGAATTACTGCATGTACCGTAAAAATCCTGACTAGACAGTCCAATCACAGCCTCAGTCAGATCCAACTGCATCTAGCACAATTTGACCTTAATTATAAGACTGGATAAGAAACGTCGGTTCATGTGACGCCAAATGCCAGTGGATTGACTAAAGCAACAGTTTACACTTTACTAGCTGAACTGATTCACTTCAACGTTTTTCACTCCAAGATTCCTGGGCAGCCTTAGAGAGCTGCCCGGTCTTCTGCCCACAATATCTTTTCTACGCATCACATTAGGACAAGCACTAACAAGTTGTACTTTTATTTCATAAATGAGACACTGATCACGTATTGAGATGAAAATTTGGGGAGTAACATAAGTTTAACAACTACATTTGTAGAGGCAAAAATAAAAGTTACACATTCGATCAGGAGACGGTTCCAAAACGTACTTGACTCAAATGTACCACTTTTACAGCTAATTTTCCTTCCTATTTTAACATGTAACCACAAAAGATTCTTTTGACTCACAAGCAGTTATAATCAGAGCAGCGTGGTACTAAATATGCTGCATGAAAACAGCTTAAAAAAAAACGCCAGACATTTAGGGGGTTCATCTTCATGAGTTTATTGTCAAAAATCTATATAGTTAAGACACAAACAAAAATGCAGATTTTCTCCAACTTGATATAGAATTGGTTTCAAAAATGTTCTGGATGTTTAAGATATATATATATATATATATTTTTTTTTTTTTAACTGCAATGCATGTTTCATTACTCTGTAATATTTTTTGGAGCTATTCAAGCCTGAACATCAAATATAAATTTAGCATTTTTCCAGACTATTTGAGAATGCATAGGAACCATGCTTTCTTGAACGTTTGAGAGGGTGATGTTTATTCGCGGTAATGCTAGTGCTACTGTTAATGCTACGGCCTTGCAAAACTAATTTAGCTTGATGACAGGAAAAATGACACAATTAGCAGAACGAAAACTTAATGCTAACCTAACCCTAACTCATAATACTATTTTGTTTCATCTCAACATAAACATTTAACTAACCAAATATGCATCCTTGACATGAAGCTTAAAATATGCAGCAAGATTCTATTGAAAGGGGAAAAAAATGGATGAATGTAAATGTATTGTTTTATTTGGCAGGTTTTGAGGGCCGTTTTTCCACCCATTTCCAGAACTTTCTGCTAGCTGAACCGTCTCAGCTAGCTGTCATACCTTAGCAGGACTGATCGTTACAGATGGACTGTTGAGGTCAGTAGTGTAATAAAATAGTTTTATTATAATAGTTTTATGTAAAGGTGTGCAATCTGTTTCTGCCTGTATGAATGCTGCTTTCTTGGTGAAAGTCTTAGCAAGTGCTATGTTCTTGTCTGTATGTTGTAATGCTAATGCTAGGACTACATGAAACCAAGATGAGAATAAGAATTGCAAAAAAATGCAAACTTAATTAAAAACAGACATCTAGTAGCTAAACAATTCCTCAATTTTAACTTTTATTTTATTTCGGAATAAAAATGTTCCCTACTTGCTGCGTTCTACTGTCACCTTTGATACTTGCTAGCTTTCCTGCCTGTGGCATTTATCGTAGAGCCACTAAGGTACACAAAAAAAACAAAACCTGCCTGTTTGCGGTGTTCATTTTACATGAGCTTTAGGTGTTCTGAGAATTAACAGTATTCAAGACTTAGGTTGTAGCCAGTCAAAAGTCATAGCAGATGGTTTTTTGTGAATACCTACAGTGTGTCTCTGTTAGCATTCAGGTTGTTGGGAAATCTGTATTACAGTCTTCCTTTTTAATGAATTCAAATGGTAATCTTTTATTTATCTTTTTTATTTACCCTCTCTTGTTCTCTGATGTCTCTGGCACCATAAAACCCAGAATTGCCTTATTATACAGTGTGCGATACACTAACAGCCCACCAGCTGATCCTTTTGCTGAGAAATCTGGTGTCCATTTAGTACGCCAGTCATAAAATGTCATCTCTGCTTTTGTTTCTTTATACTCAGATACACCGTGGCAAACTTTACAGCACTGCGGACGCAGCGTTAGCAGCCATTAGCCAACATCTGGAAGTCATCAGCAAATTGCACAGTTCTCCATTTATTCTCCACACACCACAAATTTATTTCACTCTGACGGACACTATTTCTCCAAATTCTTGGCCCCTTCTTTCGCTCTGACACTTCTTAGAATAACTCTAAAGCTGCGGCCTTCTGTGCGCTGCTGCATTTTACCTTTTAGATTGCTGTAGCAAAAGAAAAAAGAAAAAGAAAAAGAACCCACATATGGAGACAAACCTTTCCAAGCTTTTCCTGCTCTCTATAAAACTATAATAATGAAACTATCTCGTTCTAAGATGGTTCATTGACTTCTAAAATTGTTATCTATAAATTTGGTAGAAAGATGGAGGCAAAAATATAACACACCACAAATTTTGTTTTGAGTATGCAAATTAGCTAAATTAGGCATAAGTGAGCAAAACTCCAACCAATAAATTTAAGTGCATCCATCCTTGGTATGCATAGAAAACACAAAACTTGCACTTTTCTGTTACCTCAGTGGCATTAAACCAGGAAGTGGCTTGAGAGGAATTTGCAGGACTAGTCTAGAAGGGGTTAGCTAGTCAGGCTATCTGCTCAGGTTTGCAGCCGGTTGGTAGGCAGACATACGGCATTTCTCATAGTTCTGTTTTAAAAAAGTGTTTTTAAATAGTCTTTAGCATCCTCACCATGACTGACTTTGTCTTTCTTGCCCAGAAATATTTTCAAACCTGCAAATTTGTCCTTTTTGGTAAACAAGGACAATGTCTAGAGACAGTTTCAGCCCACTGAGGGTTACTGTACAGCAACAAGTGGCAAAGGGGCACCATGTAATTCTCAATGTTACACACAACCAGAGACAAACCAGGTCACTCCAGTATTTTAATCTTCATCTGATTAAAACCGCCCTGAACTGTTGGGTTGTTATGACGGGAAAAAATTGAGCAATTTCAAACCACGAAACTTTGAAACACCTAGACGACGGTAACCGACCCATTTCTAATTTTAGAATCTTATTTTACACATTTCTGTCAACATTTCATACTGTCCTGAGAGAAGTCTTTTCAATATTCAACCGATACAAACACACTTGCAGATGATTGACGAAGAGTTCATCTCTGGAGTCTAAGGTTATGCTCTGTAGATCAGAGTTTAATAAAAGTTACAGAATGCAGCTTCACATATTTCATAAATATAACTTTAAAGATAAAGCAAAGACACAAAGAGAACATCTGTTAAATTCCATAACTAGTATGTACTGACTGCTTAGGGTACTTAAGTAGTTAATAAATAAGCTACAAATGAAAGTAAATGAGACCAGTGAACTTGGTTTTAATGAAGTACTGCTACGCATATCATTGAGGTCAGTAAAACCCACTGGAAATGTTTGTCATAATCTGATATGCAAACTCAGATCTCCCTGGGTGACGAACTCTGCGCTGAGAGATGGAACACAGCTGAATCCTGACGCCGAGGATCAGTCGGGGATATTTAAAACCAACTGGCATCAACGTCTCTGACAAATTTAGGGCAGTTTGAGGTTCCCCCACGGACTCCAGAGACCTAAACTTACTGAAGGACTCGGGGAAGCTGTGTGCAGACTTTATGTGGTCTGTTTGTGTGCAGGAAAGGGAGGAAGGACAGCAATGAGAGACACAGGAAGGAAGGTGCAGTATACATCCATGTGTTTCTAAGAATTGAAATAACATACAAAAGACATTCAAGACTTGCAGACGCTGACTGGGGGTGAGGGCAGGGAGGAAAACACTAGCTTTGAAGAACAGCTAAAAGTTGGAAAATAAAAGAAAGGTGCTCCATCCAGTGCCCCTCTACCGTAAGACTGGCAGACATGTTTTTCATCACTCCCTTACCTTAAAAGCTTGACTTATTCTTCCTGTTTCACTCTCACCAAGCAAAGGAATCCACAAAAATTCCACTAACGTCCCAGTTTCTGCTTTGGAGTCCACAAAACATAACTGCCCTAAATTTGTGCCCCTCTGGAGACAGTAAGTCAACACTCGAAATCTGACAGTTTGCCGATGAGTCCTTTTAGGGAGGAAAAGAGGAAACAGAGCAGCAATGACGCTTTCGCAGCATGACACGTGGAGTGGCTTCAACTTGTGGTGCCACCACCACAACTCAAGGGGCCTAATAAAAAGCCATGTGGAGTGCCACACGTGTCTGTAATGACACATAGTCAAAACCTCTGAGGGCCTGGGACTACACCTTATTTTCTCTGCTGGTTTCCAAATTCTTCTGGAAGGAAGGGAAAGTGAGATGCTGGAAACACAATTATGGCACGAGGTCGGAGGAGGAACAACACGACACTGGTCTTTTGTCACTAGAGGGAGGTTTCTCTCTTTTCTTTTCTTTTCTTTTTTTCTTGTGTTACTTTGCAAACGGTCTCTGCGGGGTCACTTACACGGAGATGCGGGCGAGGAGAGTCCGCCGTCAGGGGGCGTGCTGTTGGGTTTAGAGTCGGGCATGGGGAGGGGCACTGGGCGGGCCACTGGGGGAGGTGGAGGCAGCAAGAAGGAGCCTGGCATTTTGCTCTGGCCGCTCCCGTTCGGCTGCGGACAACACAAATAGGGTCAAGAGGGCGGCATGCGACAACCCGCAGACACGGAATGGAAAAGGGGAGCGGCTCAAGAAGGCCGGGCCCAAAATATAAACAAATTCATGACGGAAGGAGGAAGAGATGGGGGGGAAAAAAACAACAACTAAGGGAATGAGGTATGCGGACGCCATCTTTAATGAGGGTGTGAAAAATAATAGCCACCACAAGAAGTGATTTGGTGCGGGACCAGGTTCCGCCGAGGCGGTCCGCGTTGGGTGAAGGAGGTTGTGGAGGCAGTGAGAGAACTCTTTGACTGGGCTCATCCATCAGATGGCAAGAAATCAAAAGCATGGGAGAACACTCGTCTACACAATCACAACACCACCAACCAACGGTATCAAAACCCAATCAACCAAACGGCAACTGAAATCGAAACAGCTAGAGATGAAGACAGCAACACGATGACACAACACAGGACTGGTGTGCTCGACTTGAAGCGTGCCGTGACTGAGTCCCTCTCGTGCTGATGGTTGTAAGCTTCTGAGGGGGGGGTTGGGTGGAGCAAAAGAAAGAAATGGACAAGAGGAAGAGCGGGGAAGTCGTCAGGGTCCGGAACAGGAAACAGCAAAAATGACACAGACAAGACAGTACGAAGATTTCTAGCCCAGCTGACTGAACCAGTGTCTGGTGTGTTGTGCTTGTGGGTGTGTCTCTGGTGGTGTGAGTCCTCATGATGTGAGAGGTAATTGGTGCTATCTTTAATTTTCCATCAACCTGCCTGCGTGCTTTTCCGTGTTTCAGGCGGCTGCTGCAGGTAGCAGCGTCCCTCCTGCCTTACCTGTCCGGCGGCCTGCCCTGAGCCATCGGCACAGACGAACTGCACAAATTCCTTCAGGGGGTCCTGTCCGGGGTGGTGGTGGTATCGTATGGTGGGGTGGGTGAAGTAGGGGCTAGACTGCTGGATGATGGAGGGGGACGGGAAGTGTAGGGCCGAGGCCGAAGCACGGGGACTCCCTGCGAACACAGACATTGGCGTTAGTCGGACAGAGGCTGGGAAGGATAAAATAAAGATGCGAGAGGCAGACGCCTTTAAAATGAAACACAAAGATCAGGTGATGAATGAGTGACAGCAAGAATGACGCAAACTTTTACAGATGTCTTTTTTTTCCAGCGAGACATGAAAGTATACCAGTCTCCTGAATGTAAACGAGGCGACATTTAGAGGTCATTGTGGAGTGCTTAAAGCCGTTTCACATTCCACTTGATCCAAGAGAGACTTCAGCATACACACTTCATTACAATCAACAATAAATAAAAAAATCAGGATAATGACTTTTTGTAAAAAGATTTTTCAAAGTTACAAAAATTCAGAGGAGCAAAACCAGGCATCATGACTTGGTAATGATGAGCGACGCCCACAGGGCGGTTCAGAAACTCTGCAATTGGTGTGAACTACTCAGTTCAATGTGTCACCTAGAAACCTAGCTTAATCCGTCTTTACTATCTCTGTTACTGGTATATGAAAACCCTATTTGAAAAAAAAAAAAAACAATTATGGAGGTAAGTAATCTGTTAGAATATCCAAATGCAATCCACTGCGTCATTGTTGGAAAAGTACGTTGACACTTTTTCAACAAATATAGCAACATATTTGTTGCTATAGTTCCAACAAAATGTAGCAACTAAATTTAGTTACTTTAGTTGCTACATATATTTAAATGAAAACCTTTTTATGGCATCTTAACAAAACACTGAACTTTGAATGTGTGTGAGATCTACAACGTGCCAGGAGTTGGTTGATTCCTGAGTCCTGGACATAAGGCCTATATCTATTAGTAAACCTGATTTGTATTAACTTCCCCCTTCCCCCCCTCCACTCCATCACAAGCCCACCAGCACCTTGCCCCAGGCTGCCTGCTCCAAAGAGAAGTCATCTTCCTGCTCCTATAGTCTACGATACTAATCCCTTTACAAACTGGGAGAAGGCCAAGTGCAGGGGGTATGTGGGTGGGTTCAAAACAGGAGGAGGGGAATGGAGGGACAGAAAGGATACAGCTCTTATCTCCCTCTGTGACTTTCCTCCTAATCTCCCCTTTCCCCAAAACCCCCCATCCATCACAAAACGGGAATGCTTTATTTATGAGTTCTTGTACATTTAAACCAGCAGCGTTTAAAAAATGACTTTATCAGTCTCATACAGCAAATCAGAACTAAAATCTAGTGTGAAGGAAGGAAATCAAAAAGAAATGGCAGGAGGAATAGAATGAGTAGCGGAAAGGGAGACATTTTTATCCCATTCTAAAAATTGTGGGTAAGATGAGGGAAATCATCAAGGAGGAGGAAGAGAGGATATTTTATCAAGACTTTGATTTGGACCTACATGTTTAAATTCTAATCGAAAACGAATAGGAAGACATCCCACAGGAGTTTGTGACTGCGGCCAATCACAGTAGACAGGTGAACACGCACTGATGGATCAGACACAATATCATAAAGAGAGGCGTCCCGGGCAAAACGGACAATTTTATGTAGTCGAGTTACTTTGCTTAAATCAAAATCACATTTGAAGTGAGCCGTTTCGTTCAGTTTCTTGTCAGATCAGACCAATTTAGTCACACAAACGTGTAAAAGACAACTCTGCCTTTCGTCGAAACAATGTAAAAATATGACTAAAAAATGAAAGATGACAAGACATCAATAAAGAACACATATGTGATTGAAAGGTGGTCAGAGTTAATCAAAGTCGAGGCATTTTTCTGGGCTAAATACAGAAAAAGAAAAGGCAAATCTTAAACAGCCGTAGAAACATCCATGCTTGTCCAGAATTTATGCATTTACTCCATGTGTAACAAAAGCTAAACTACTTGAAGTTTATGCTAAATATTGCCACCAACATCACACTCCTTTCACTACTTTGTTCTTATCAACATCTAAAGATCAACACATACTTTAGATGATGGCATTATTTTGTTCTTACAGGGAAGTTCCTCGAGTTTCTTCTTAGGAGTTTTATACTTTAGTTCTTGTAAACTATAAAATGTTCTTGCCGGCAGGAACTTTGTTCACGTTCGTGCCACTTTGAGTTCAGAGAATCAATTCATCTGCACTTACCCATCACTTTTCAGGTTCTTGTGATGTGAAACAAACAAAAGGTTTCAGAAATCCTTCCAAACCATCGTTTTCCAATATAATGCAGACTTTCCCAACGAAAACCAACTTAGCCTGGTGGGAGGGGGCGTGAAGGCAGTCCACCCTATTTTAGTGTTGAAAAATGTTGAAACATTGAGACCAACCGGCAAACCTAACTTAATCTGTATTTACTGTCAATGTTACTGGTGTACAAAAACCCAGTTTAAATTATAACAAACAAAGCTCAGCCTGCCTGGCAGGGGAGCGAGTTCAGTCTGGTGGCCCGTCAGGCTGATTATACACTGGAGGAAATGCTGTAATGTGACATTTACGTTGTATTAGTCAAAGAAACGTGTTTATTCAAAAACAACAACAAAAAAGGAAAATTGCAAAAATGCAGAGCTTCAGGATCAAATGGATCTAATTCTACAAATGTATCACTCGGGGACAGGCTATAAGAAATTACACCCACACACGCACTTATATATATAAACACACAAAAAGTGCCCCTCACTATATTGATAGTCATGGCCTTGCTAATGGGATTAGACAGTACAGTTCTAGAACTATGTTATACTTGGTCTTTAATAATTTGGTAAATAAATAGTTATTATTCAATGACTTCTTGAAAACAAGCATTTCAGAAAGGTTCATTCTGTGTAAGAAGATTCAGGGGTGTGTCAAAAATATTAGTGGCCAAAATAAAAGTCCCAGAAAGGTGAAGAGCCGTTCCTTTAAATGATGCGACTGATTGCGGCACCGTGACGGCAACACGTTCCTTCGCTGCAGCATTTTTTTTTTTTTTGCACCATCCCAATAATCCGCCTGCCACCAAATTCCTGTGGAGCCCGTCTGACATGCAGAACAACAACAGCGCTTATGATGTGGTAAGCACTTTCACACTAAGCGAGGCTCCAAACGCAACGTTGAAGTTTGCCTGCAAAGAAATCATAATTGTATATCAAAAACTAATAATAAAAAAGAAAAAAAAAGCAACAACAACCAAAAAAAAGCACACTGCAGCTTACCACCACAGTGTGGTGGTGAGAGGTTCGGGGATGGGGGGTAAGCAGGGGGTTGTCCCGCGATGGTGTGAACGGGCGTCCGTCCGCACGCAAAGCGCCGAGATCAGATTCGCCGTACTCGCGTCTGGAGAGGCGCGGGGGGAACGTCAACAACCGCAGGGGAGTGAATAATGACACAGTGGTCAACCTCATCGCCTCACATCTGCTCCACGGCTTAAAAATGCTTTGAAGCTTCGCTGCAGAACTAAAGCACATGTGTAATTATCCACAATGAGCTCCTTCATTGGGTGAGTTTACAAAAGAAAAGCTGGGAACGTCTCATAGTTGGTCTGCGCTGTGGTTTGAATAAATTAATAAAAACAGGGGAGAGATGATTTATGCCCATAACTTCTTCGCTGCGATAGAGCCGGGTCAGAATTGGGGGCGTTTCGACACAGGAATCGGACAAGAACCGCATTAAGTCGGTTAGCACGCTCGCAGTTGCGCTGCTGATAATGAATTTGAAGAGCTGTGGTCTTTGGCAGTCACTTTGGATGTTTTTTGGGTTGCTTTTTTTTTTTTTTTTGCTAGAATATTGGCACCAGTGAAGGGGGGAGCCTTGAGAGATTATGCGAAAATAAATATGCAGAATTCACAGAGGACTAATTAAAAGCAAACAGAGTAAACAGAAGCAGCAGAAGATGAAATGTTCTGACTTTTTGTTTCGTATTGTGAGCAAGGCTCTCTCCAGAGGCCGGCACGTCTTCGATTCCGGTGTAATCCAAACGTTTCTCTCTTTAAAATCCCCGTTCGTCCGTTTAGTCAAGCAAAATTTCTGCTAACAATTTGAGATGTCAGGCTCCGGCTGACGGGATGACGGAATAATTATGACATCATCTGGGCTATTTGGTTTCAATTAGCTCATCAAAAAAACCTGACATGTAGTACACGTCTGTTCTACGGGAGAAAAAAAAAAGTGATCAGAGTTTAAAACTCTGCTGTATTAAAATAAGTGGAGAATTGACATAAATTTTCTCCTATTCAAGTAAAGTAGTAGAATAAAATGTTCATTCACTAATTCTATCAAACTGCAAAAATCTGCTCAACCAATCAAAGACAACGCCATGGAAACCTCTCAAACTTGTCCAGTTTGATTTTTTCTTCCTTTCTTTTAGGAAAAGAAGGAAGGAGTTCTGCAAGTGTTGCAATCCGAAGAGCTATTTTTATTTTCAGTCCAGGTCCGTAAAACTCTTTCATAGCTGTGAATATTACTTAAAAAAAAAAAAAAAAACAAAAAGTCAACTTGGAGCATTTGATAAGCATCTACCACAAGAAATGAGTTGATATTTTAAAACGAACCGCCTTTTTATTTCTTCTTTTAGGTTTTATGACCGAAAACTTTAATAAAAATGTGATGTATTTTTTTTCAATGGGATCTTGATGTTTGTGGATAATTATGTAAAAAAATAAAAATAAAACTATATAGTTTCAATCTAATTGCTAGAGAAACAGATAAAAATGTTTCTACTTTTCAAATTTGGTGCAATTATTCCGTAAAAAGTCAAAAAAAAAAAAAAAAAAACTAAACACCTGCATTTATTATAATATCTATATATTTTAAAAAATTGTCGATTTCTTTTTCATATTTAGTTTTAGTTTCCAAAGGAACGTAGAAGAATTCCAATGTGGTTACATAATAATGTGCTGATGAATTCTGCTCTGATGCAACATCTTCATACTGAAGCACGGTGGTGGCAGCATCACGATGAGATGATTCTTGCCCAAAGAGATTGTTTAGAGTTCATTGAAAGATGGACAGAGCTAAAAATGGGTCAATTTTGAAAACAAACCTACAGAAGTGTGTGCTCGAATGGCCTAGTCAAAGTCTAGAAGACTGAAATTTGTTAGAGAATCGGGGGGCTGGACTTGGATTTTGCTGGTGCTTCAACAAGGGGCGGACTGAGCACGCTTCATCGACTCACGCCGCTACATTATTAGAGACGTAACTGTAAGAATTGTTGAATACTGTTTATTTTTCCTTCTACTCTCCAATTTGCAGCAATTAAAGCAACTGCCCTTTGGGGGTGAAACTCCGCCCCCGCCCCCAGTTTTCTTGGACAAAATTAATATTTTCCTCAACTCTAACCAGCTCCTCTGTTTGTGCTGAAGAAAATCACCCCCACAGCATGATGCTACCACCACCGTGTTTCACAGTGAAGATGTTAAAAATGCTGGATTTTCCCTTTACTTCAAAATTACATGACATTGTACTGGTTCAGCGCTTAAAGGGGCAGAATTATGTAACATTGACTTCTTTTAAAGCTTTATATCATGTTATATGATGCTATTTGCTCACCAAGAATGACATAATTCCTCTTGCAAGTTTGAGAAGTAATTTAATCTTCATGGCAAAGATTGAGCTCGGTCGATCTAGCGCCGCCTTTGAGGTGCAGTTCATAGGCTTCTGCAGAAGCTCTCCCCCACAATACCTACACTCAGCTCCTTCAGACTAGTCAGCAGCGGTTAGCAAACACCTGGTAGAAATGTAGAACTGCTGAGTTCATTACAGGAGCTACTTCTCAGTGAAACGCTGGTAAAACTGTTGCTGAACGGTTAATAGAGAAGTCATGTTGTGATGACTACCTGAAGGTGGCGTTTCAGAAAGAACAGGAGTTTCTTAAAGAGACAGAGCCCCAATTTCAAGGCGCTACATTACAAAGTCGAATTTCTCTTAAGTGATATTTGATATATATATATATATATATATATATTATATATATATATATATATATACATATATACATATATATATATATATATATATACATATATACATATATATATATGTATATATATATATATATGTATATATATATATACATATATACATATATATATATGTATATATATATAATATATATATATATATATATATATATATATATATATGTTTACTTCGACTCTATATATGTATATATATATATATATATATATATATATATATAGTTTTCATAACAACTGGAGTTAACAGTTATATGATTGTGCAATAAAATGACACAGTGTGCCTGGAAAGCACGTAATATTGCCCCCTTTAAAATCCTAACAGAACACACAGAGGTTTGTGGTCGTAAAGAATTCACAAATGCTGAAGCGTGAAAACTTCTGCGTGGCACTGCAATCGAATCTGAAACAGATGTAAAGTTCAAGTTTCAAAAGAAGAGTAGAGAGATGAAAAAACGAAAAAAAGACATCCAGAACCACTTCATTGCTCTAAGAAATACGCCGAGCAGCAAAGATATTCCACCAGCAACCGTCCACCAATAGCCAGGCCCAGAAAAGGTCCAAACAAAACCACACCCAGAGACCCCCGAAGCTCCGCCACCAACACCACCACCTGCACACGACGGAGCAACGTGCCGGCTTCAGATTCCCAACCGCTCTCATGCCCCCCCACCTCTAAACCACAGTAAGGAGGGGGAGGGGTGGGGCTCAAGGGGTAGGAGGGTGGGGAGGCCCGGGAAAAAGTGTGGGGTAGGAGGAGATGGTGAAGAGGAAGGAGTTGGAGGGGGTGGGCGATCAGGGAGCTGGGGGGGTTTGTTGGTTTGGTTGGGTTGGTCTCACCTGGTCTCACTCCCGCCAGCATTGGCAGTGGGTGGTGGTGAACGCCATGCGGGGGGACCTCGTCTGGGAGGACAGGGCGCTGAAATCGAATTTCCCCAGCTTCTTATGAGAACCAGGCGACGAGAGTCCTGGCGAAAAGGGGATCAACAGAATGGCAGAACAGAGACGAGGTTTTAATCAAACATGGCTGCTTTTTGTTTACTTCGACTCTACTCAAGAAAAATCAGATCAAGTCAAAGATAGAAAAAAAAAATCAACTACTGGATCAGGTTTCCTCAATTTGATGAAAAGAAGCAAATAATCACGATTGTAATCAACAGACTAATTGATTGACTGATTGGCTTGCTCATTGATTCTGACGTCCATCTTGATATACATAGGGCTTCCTTTAGGTTGGTTCTCCGTCCGTTGGTGTTCAGTCAGTGGACCGTACCAGACGGGGGAGGGGGAGTGGGGTGAGGGTCCGGTGAGAGGGCATGTTTTAAAGCAGCAGCGTGAAAGAAGGTGACGGGAGAGAGGGGAGGAAGGTTCAGGTTGGCGGGATGGAGGTCAAGAGGCCAGGGGTTTAGCTTCAGGACAGAGGAGAGTTGGAAGATGCCCCCCGATACGGGACTCAATATCACAACATCTAAGTATCGTGTTTCTATCCTCACACTGGTAGCTTTGAAAATAAATAAATAAATAAAAATCTAACTAGCTCACAGAAAGCCTTGCAAAGGTTTTCACACCACCTAGAACTTTTTCACACTTATTTTTCATGTCACAGCAAAAATGTCAATGCTACCAAATGAGAGACCAACGCAAAGTAGTGAATAGTTGTTGAGTGAAAAGAAAAATCATGACAAATTAGCAAGTTTTTCATTTTTAAGCCGTATTGTCCAGCATGTATCGTATCATTTATTGTTCATTGTGATCAATTTCTCATAAGAATTTTGATTTATCGTTCCCTATCAGTGATGTTTGAAATCCCCTAAAAGTGTCCTTATTGCCAGGTCTCTTTTTTTGTTTCATCCTCTGTTTGTTCAGTGTCAAAAAATATCAATACGTTTATAAATATAATCAAACACAGTTACTATGTGCAGCTTAGTCATACAAATCACATTTTTGTATGTTTTGTGGGGCAATGATTGCAGTGCCAGGCAGTCGCAGATCTAAAATTACTTAAGAAATAAGTAATAAATAGTTTTTAGTGCCACTATTATCGTTATCACAATAGAACCTGAAAACATGGTGATAAAACCTTAAGTCCATATCGGCCAGTTCTACTGCAGGTCTTTTAGGACAGATGGCCACCAGCTTTAAACAGACGTTTTTTCCAAAACTTAAGTTTTTTCTTTTCTTCGAAGCAAAATATTTCAAGTTCAATCAGATTGGATGAAGATCATCTGTGAACATCAGATTTTTTTAGCTCTAATGGCCTTTATTTGAAAGAAGTCCAACAGGAAAGAGGGCAATGAGAGGGGGAAAGGACATGCGGCAAGGGTTGCCAGGTCGGGAATCGAACCTGCGACCACCGCCACCAGGACTAAGGCTTCTAGTCCTGGGTCATGCGTTGCCTGTGCGCCACCACAGCAACATCGGTTCTTAAGTGTTGACACAAATTTGCAACAGGATTGTTGTCTGTACTTTAACTAGTCCATCCTAGCATATCATTTCTTGGTTACGGTCTCAATTCTACTTAAGGCTACAAACAAAGAACCATCTTCTGTTTCTGCTGAAAACACTCATCCCCACAACATGATGCAGCCATCGCCATACAATCTTACAACGTGGATGGTGAGTTTAGGTCGCTCTATTTTTGATGAGATTAAACTCACAGATAGCCGCCTTTAGAAGGCGGTTTTATTTTGGGGCCTAAGAGTTTTAGGTGTACTGAACATAAATATACAGAAACACTTTTCTGAGTTTTAACAGTAAGAAGCAGTGAGAACCATGAATAATTGTCACCTCAAAATGATCCCCTACATTGTGTTTATATGCCATACAAAATTGCTAATAAGACACTTTAAAGTTTCTGGTCATAAGATGAAAAAAATGTGTGTGTGTGTGGGGGGGGTAAAGGGATGTGAGTCTCTTTTTGCAAGGCACAGCAAACCGCAGCGTTGCTACATAGAGCCCCGGGAACTCGAGTCAAAACAAACATGTCCGACCAGCCAGCTCACTACAACTCTTTAGCAATGAATGGGATCCTGAATGGCCTCATATCTGGGGAAGGCTGCGTCTTCCGTCTGACGCCAGCACAACCTGTGCAGCTACCTATAGCTGCAGAGGAGCCTGCCAAAACACACACCGACTCATCCTCTGATGCGGCTCTGACTGTCAGGCATTGTACGCAGCCGCCTTGAGACATGTTGTATTTCAGTAAAAGTGCTCCGGCTCTTTTTTCTCCCCCCTCTACTGCACACCTACACACCCATACACACCTACACACCCATACACACATACACACACACATCGCTCAGGCAGAGTGGCGAGCGCTGGGCACGCTGCCAGCAAACGCTTCGTGGGGGAGCCAGAGAAAAATAGAAGTTAAGCGGGAGAAGAGGAGTGATGGCACACTTTGATGAACACAATAAAATGTCCCTGGGTGTCTATAAATGTCAGAGAGGCTAAAAGGCTGTGTAAAAAAAAAATATATGCATAAATATAAATACATATGAATATAAATATAAATATATGTACTAAAACGGGCACACTGAAGTACAGGCTTGGCTCATTGGTGGACCAGAAACATGGCCGTAAGTGTGAGCGCCGCAGATAAAAGAGGTTCTCTTCTGTGATGAAGGGCTGGTGTGGTCCATGCTGAGGGAGTTTATTTTGATATATGGCAAACCAAGGGCACGATTTAGACTTCCTGGGTTTAAGAAAGAGCTCCAAAATGGTGTATTTCGAACCACAATGTTTAATATACGCTGTCATAAAAGCCCCAAAGCAAGAGCGATCCCTTACACTGGGAATATTGAGGAAAATACAAAAAAAAAATTGGAAAAAAAAAAATCTGGAAAAAAACGGAAAAAAATTCTGCCTTCTCCTCGAAACACGTTGAGCTCATGTTGCTTCGAATTCACTCGAAAGAATACAGTGATAAATAGAGACGCGAGAGGCCCGTAAACTACTAAATGGCACAATATTCACACATATAAAACAAACAGAGTCAAATAAAGTCGGCGGGCAACTCCAACATGCCCCAAAGAGATGTGGAAATAGACTTTACGAGCAGAGCGTAAAAAGTCTAACAGCAGATTTCTGTAAAGCTGGAGCTTTTTTTAAACGCTGCGCTGGGAAACGCTGGTCGAAACGTTTACCCAGAACTTTCGGGCGCAGCTGTTCTTGTGTGGGCACCGAGGATCAAGGAGAGCGAAAAGAAAAAAAAAAAAGAAAAGAAAAAGAAAAGGTGGGCGCCGGCACTTATGCTCGGCCACGGGGTTATCTCCACATGTAGGAGGGGAGGTGCAGACGCAGATTATACGTCTTGTTCACTGGTAACATGATGAAACAACAACAGAAAAAGAAAAGGAGGTGTGATCAGACTTAGACGCACACAAAAAAAAAAAATAAGGTGACGTCCATCTGGTTGGAGCATCTTATTTTAGTCTGTGTCATATTAGCACGTTATGTAACGAATAGTGTGATGATGGTGTGAGAATAACTTTTTTAAAAGCAACGTGTGAAGGGAAATGTGGGAAGTTTGCGTAAGTAGGAGAAACAAGTTCATGATATCGGTGAAAACGCCAATCGAGACGAGAGCTCTGGTCAGAGGTTCAGGTTTGTGCATCGGGTGTCAGTCATTTCGGGACTTTTAGTGACGCTTTTGAACTTTTTGACCTCCAGACGCCCACCTGTACGAGCAGAACGCCTGACTGGCGTTCAGGGTCGGACAGAAACAGGCTGAGGTCGGACCGAGACGATTCCTGACGCGCTAACGCAGCAGGTCGGTGGACTGGGACTTCTGTGTTTTAAAGACGAAAAGTAAAAGGAGCGCTGGTGACGCGGAGTAAGCTGAAATTAAAACAAGGAACGACAAATGAAGACGGTGAAACGAGTAAAAAGCAAAATGTACTTTACTTGCAAACCGCTACTGAATTAAGTCAATAACTTGTGTGTTGTATAATGCAACGCTGCATATTTGAAATATGTTTATGACACGTCTTAATGATGTCCAAACCTTTTGTGACCCAGGTAAAAATTGGCAAATTGAAAATGATGTTTTTTTCCCCCCAGTTCAAAAAACATTTTCAAGAAAATTATTTCACACTTGCTGTGTGAAATTTTTTTTTTTTTGGATGGAATGTTTTCTGTTTGTTGATCTGCAAAATGTTTTCAATCGGCCCAGAACAACAGAAAGAGGAATCTCTGAAGGCCTGTGCAGGTTTAACACGCTGATTTAGATCTTGTTTAACAGTAAAATGTTGGTCTGTGTTTGGGACTCCAATTACTATGTTTAAATGGAAAAAAAAACATGGCTTGTGTTTTACTGCAAATGTTCTATTTAAAAGGACATACATTTATAATTATGTAATCTTTTACATTTTGTAAAAGATTACAAAAAAGCGTCCTTCCGCTTCATTTGCAGTTGTAACGCTAGCTATGCTAATTATGTTAATAGCAGATATAAGATGCTAAGATGTCGACTCCATCATCATTTCGTCTTTCTTGCAGAATATGCTCTTTTACGGCGTTTACTCTCTGACGTGGTGTGATGTCACATCCTGGGACGGCGGGTCAAAAATTCTCACTCCTGTTCTCGTTTCTGCTCAGGTTTATGATTCGAAGACGAATTTTGAAATCTGCTGGCATAGGCAGACGAAACGTGAACAAAACCAAGAGATCTGAGATGAAAAAAAAGAAGAAGAAAAACACGCAAGCAAACACATTTGATTTGACTTTTGCATACCTTTAGCAGAAATCAGTATTTATTTATTTATTTTAAACGCCACGGCTATCTGCGTTCCAGTTGGTTGCGAAAGCCTTCGTCTGCTGTATGATGCGCTCAGCGGCCCGAGGGAGACATTTGCAGAAGTATGTAAACTCTGATGATGTAAAAGTGATGCCATCATGGTTGGCTGAGCTTGGATTTGAGAGAGGGTTCTGGGGGTGGGGGACAACAATCTTCTCCAACTGGAGGAGTGAGGATTATACCGTTGCATCATGGGAAATATAAGATACAGTGTTTACGCAGCTCATGCCAAACTAGACATCCTAAACACTAAAATATGCTGTAATTTCAACTTCCTTTCAAACAACCAACATCACACAGAATCATGCAAGAATAATAAAATAAAGAAAGTTTCCACTCACATGTAGAACTTTGATCAAACAAAGAGGAAAAAAAAACAAAATCCCACGCACCCAAAAGAATTACCCGCTAGCTTTCAGTTCCTCTGCGACTGCAGGTTTACGCGTGCCAGCGCCAATTATAAGCAGCCTATTATTCATAAATAACTTTAAATCATACATACTGTTTTTAGACCCAGTGATAATTCCTAATTAGTCACTATGTTGATGAAATATCTGGTGGTATATCAGCGAGGAACAGTAAATGAGGCCCAGATGTCCAGTGAAAGCTTTGTCTAATAAAGCCAACAGAAGTTACTCTGATCTCTCTCTCTCTCTCTTACAGTGTGTATGTCAGTGTGTCTGTACACACATACAAAACAGTTGTTTGTTCTTCATTATTTCTGTGTCCTGCTCCTGGCACACTGCACAGGCAGCCTGGCAGCCAATTGCTCCCATGACCCTGCAGTCTTGCCACGCTAACAAGCTAGCGACCACACAAACCGCCTCTGAACCGGTCGGCTAGCGAAGTGCGCGCGCGCTCAGAGAGAAACAGTGAAACAAATAAGCTTCAGGTGAATAAAAGCAACAGTGCATGTTGGACAACTGCCGTTCCCTCGTGGCTTTTGGTAGCAGGCGAGAAGATTAGGATAGCAGTACAGTCATTGAAACATCATGTTTTCTGCAAAAGACATATTTGCTCCAACTCCGTCAATATCACAGATGCACAGGGGAACCTGAGCCACTCCCTCTTTACCCAAACGCTCCGTCTTTCCCCAACACAGAGCAGCAAGAGCGAGCGAGCGAGTGAGCGAGGCAGGAGGAGAAGCGGAGCAGAGCAGAGCGGGACACAACAGACTTCATGATGAATTACATGATCACCTGCTATGCCTCAGAGCCTTTCATTCAGGTAGAGATTCACCTCCGGAGCAGTCAGAGGCAGAGGCCCTCCTTCTCCTGCCCTCCTCCCTTCTTCTCCTTTTTCCACATCTCTCACTCCCAACACCCACCACCACCACCACCACCACCACCATCTCCAGAACAGATGTCTGCTGTAACCCAGTAGCTCCCTTTGCTGTAGACACATGGAGTTGCCATCTGGACCGGAACGCTGTTCCTCTCCAGACTGGTGTGGGGTGTGTGTTTGTATGCGTGTGAGAATGGAAATCAGTTATGGAGCTCTAATGTAGTTCATTTCTGTGTGAGCATGTGTGTGTCCGCGTGCGTCGGTGAGTAAGCATGGCTCGGAGACAGACGGTGCCTTGTGCACTGATGACACACCTGAGTACCTTTGGTTTTGGTTTGTTTGGATCTTGTGTTGTTTTGTTCTGCGCTGCCTTTCACAGACAGATGAGGCAGGCCCGGGGCAGGTGGCCGCAGCCCCCAAACAGCTCTGTCTAAACAACCAGCTGGATGAGGCGTCGAAGAAACTTCACTCACATCCTCGCTGCCTCACCGACGTCTCCTGCAGGGCGCCTGGGCTTTCTCGCGTCTCCTTGTGTTGCAACCACAAACTTCAGCGTTGTTTTCTGTTTTATTTTCTGTGCATTTTTGTTTTCCCTTTGTCGCGACAACCCTAACTGAAACCCTGGATGCTGAATAGCCTTCAGAAATCTCAATAAATAGAGTCTGCCTGAGTAGTAATTGATTAGTCCTCTAAAGGCCGCAGAGGTTTGTTTAATGTTCTCTCATGTTCTTCTAACCAGTTCTTCCCCACTCAGTGACGGCCAGATCCGACTCCATTTGCAGACACTGAGCAGTTCATTCATGCTGAGTATTGTGCGCAAGCGGTATGATTGGCGACAAACTATCCGTTTCATGGCGTGTGGATTAAACGACCTGCCGGGGCGTTCAGCGATGAGCAAATATAAGGAGAGATTGAACAGAAACTGTTCCACTCAAGGGTACATTGATTGGCGGCAGACTGCAATCGACGATTTGGCCCTCGGATTTATGTCAACATCTCGACCATCATTGTCGATCTACATCAAGTTGGACGGGGTGGCGAGGTATAAATTGGTAATTCCAGGGTGAAACATTGTGGTCCAAATCTTTCTATCAATTGTGGCGAAAGAGCACATCCAGACGGGACGGGACAACGAACAGATATACTTAGAGATTTCAAAGACATTTCTGCATGACGCTGTGAGGAGGCTTTTCTTTTAGCAGCAACAACAGAGTCGGTCAGATGTAACGACAAGATGGATGAAGCTAAACGGAGAAGCAAACAGGTAAGAGGCCGCCGAAGACAAAGAGACTGGGACGAAGGTTCACCTTCCAGCTGGACAATGACCCAAGACATACAGTGACAACGACGTCAGCGATGATCTAGATCAAAGCTTGGGCAATAATCCAAATTCAGAATCTATAGCAATACTTTGATTTTCAGAGATACTCTCCATGCCATGCCACTCAACTTGAGTTACTTTGTTGAGATGAACGGGCAAAAGTCTGTAAAAGTGTCAAGCTGGTAAAATAACTTGGAGCTGTAATTACACCGAAGCCTTTTGTTTGTCAAAGTAAGGACATACAAATACACTCATTCTGTGTATTATTTTTCTTCGACTTCTCAAAAACATTTCACTGGTTTGTGTTGGCTTGTCGTGCAAAATCCAAATCAAACACGTTGAAGTTGTGGTTGTAACGTGACAAAAACGTGGAAGCTGTTCACTAATTTTATAAAATAAGTCAAATGTTCTTGGAAACTTCACTTCAGAAGCATGTGGTGCTGTTTGGACACAATGAAACAAATACCAATAAAAATCACGCTTGCAGAAACACCAGAGCATTCACATGTGTTCGAAATGTGCTGGAGGTACATGTGCATCCAGCGCACGTCTGATTTCTTTCCCACACAATCACAATGACGTCTCTGGGGCGGACAGGTGGTGGACGCTATGGAGCTACTGGGCTACCAAAAAGACGTTTGGTGAACCCACAACGGACAGCAGCAGACATCTGGTAGAAACACAACCCCACCCAGCAGCAACAGAGCCAGAGAACAGGACACATAAAAGCAGGGAGAGGAAGAGGAGCGGAAAATGGAAGGGGAAAGACGGGATGGAGGAGCACAGGAGAGCTCAGAGAGCCCGCAGACAAAGGCAAACAGACAGCGGTGCATACACAAGCTGAGGGTGTTGTGAGCGGAAGGAGAGCAACGTATACATGTACACAGTAGAATGTTTAATGTTCTAACCATGGTAAGGAAACTGCACTCCATCGCTCTCATGCTTAATCTTCCTCTCCTGCACACTGGCCAAATGGTGCTGCACTGAAAGGCCAAACAGGGGAGAAAGGGAAGAGTTAACAATGGAAGAGGGGAGGAGAGATAATGACAGACACACAGAGAGAGAGAGGTGGAAAGAAAGAGAGAGAGAGAGAGAGAGAAACAGGGCTGGTTAAATAATGAGCAATATGGGATTTTAATGGTATAGAGCGCAGCAAACATCTGTAAAATGGTTACATCACGACTGCTGGCAGTATCACAAAGGAAGCGTAGCAGAGGGAGTTTCCTGAAGCGAATCCCTTCAGTCAAATGCTACACCAGTGAAGTCACACTGTGAATACATTTGATGAGGTAGCCATCGTGATGGCTGAGAAAAGAGTGAGCGAAAAGAGTGAAAGGTCAGAGCTTCACACGGAAGTGGAGAGTTGAACCGGAGTTGCTTCGGTGGGAGGCTGGACAAAGGAGACGGTCATGAATGGTGAGACTCAGAGGGCGTCTAGAGCAGCGAGGGGGAGTTATGACAGAGCTGATTATGGGTTTATGTGGAAATTATGATTAATGATGAAGAGTAACCACTTCCCAAGATTTTAATTTGATAGCTAATTTAAGTCTTTATATCATACAGAACTTCCTGCCTTTCCTGGTTTACCTCTGCAGAGGAGAAGGTTACATGTTGCTAACATCTATGTATCAAAGCTTAAATAATCAATGAAACAGATCAGATGAATTAGCTGTTGCTTTTTATACATTTAAACGTCATAAACAAACCAGCAGCAATTCAATTATGCTGTGCATATATTATATATTTCTATTTTTAATAGAAATATATTGAACATCAAAATAGAAAATACATGGTGAGGTACACTACATTAATTAAAAATAAATAAATAAAGCAATAAAAGTTTTGATTTTTTAATTTGAAATATTTTTATGAAACCACCTCCTTTTACCGCCTGCTAATTTAGCACCGCACAATTAAAATGGAGAACAAAATATTGCCTGTTTACTGTATAGAGAATGAAATGGTTGCGTTTTTTGCCACTGGAATCACAGAATGTAACGATTGCGTTGCATCTCATCGATGTTGAGCGGAGAAAGTGCTACTTTCTCGCCTTTTATGCGTCACTTTCAGCGTTTATACCAAGCATGCTAACTTGACTATGCTAGCTGCTAATTTAAGATGAAAAATATTCTTTAAATAATGCCTTTACATCATGAAAGATTTGCTTTCCACATTTTAACTGATGGGGAAGACTTTGCAGTTTGCTGCTTGAGGGCTAAAGCTAAAGACAGTAGGCCTATTTATTACTCATTAGCGTCTGCCGCCAAGAAAGTTTTGCTAGCTTAGCGTGACTGGAAATGGGGAAACTAAAACCACATATTTGTTTTGAAAAGAAAAAGCTTACTGAAATTTATTACTCGCCTGAAATTTTAAGGTAAAGTGAAGTCCCACCGAGGGAAAACATTTGCTTCAACGCAAGCAGCCGTTTAACGTCACTTTCTGGACTTAAAAGTTAACTAACTTGGGTAACTATATTAGTTTTGGACGTAAGCTACAGGCTTCAGAGTTGTTTTATTACATGGAAAAAGAAACATAGTGAAAAGCATTCAACACAATGAGACCTAGTGTTAGTTCTGCAGTATAAAACTATTTTCACCCCAATGGCTTTCTACTGTTTTTGATTTACTGTGTTTCAGAAATAGTTAAGAGTTTAAATAATTAATTAAGATGAAAAAAAAAAAAAAAAACTTATCAAACCAACCCAGCCCAATGTGAAACCAACCCAGCCCTTTTCACCAAACCTAATAATTGGTTCTTCCAACCATTTGCAGCAACAACTGTTGGCAACTGGCTGTATATTTTACGTTGCTGTGGAGACGTTTTGCCAATAGCAGAATTATTTTGATTTAGCGACTGATTTCTCCAGCTCTTAAGGTCGTTCCACAGAGTCAATATCAGATTTTAGTCATAGCTTTGACTAGGCCATTACAAAAATTTCACTTTGTTGTTTCTTTGAAAGGTCTCAGGGATCCTTCAGTTTTTGGGGGGCAAATCTAAGAGCCATAACTGAAGAAAACTGTATATTTCTTACCCATGAAAAAAGTCAAACCCACTTTGCCGTACTGTTGCAAGATAAAAATGACTTCACTTTAAGTTTACGGAGATCTTAGATAACAAACTGTGTGATTATATAAAGTTTCACGATGGACAGACTTTTGAATATCTAACTTTTGCTTCTTTAGAATTGTGGCATACCTCTCAGCTGACAAAATTGATTCGTTCAAAACATTTGCTGAAATAGCCGCACCATGAAGGCTAAGCGCCTGCAGCTGGGTATGTTGGTGGGGGAAACTGTGGCAAACAGACTGATCCTCTGGCTCTGGAGGCTCTTTGATGGAGGTTTTAGTGGTTTGGAGGTAGAGAATGGGAATGATGGGGAAGTAAAGGTAGAAAGAGTGGGGGGCAATGCAACACAAACACAACAAAACAGTTTTTTTTTTTTTCTTTTCTACGGCAGAAGGTGAGACATGGTTTCTGCTTTCGGATTGAAACACATGAAGAAAATCTTTCTACTGAGATTTAAGGAAACATTTGACATTTCTGGAAGATTCTCCCTCCCATAAAAGAGGATCACAAGTTACTATAAGACGTAGAAACAAACCAGATGTGGCCAAAAGTATGCAGACACTCGTTAAGGACATTGATGCCATTGATGTCATTTTCATTATGATCATTTATCAGAGTTACAGAACACTCTGGATCAAAATCCCACATCCTGACTCAAACTTATCATTAATGGTGGGACCAGATTAAAATGTTTAATAGAATTAATTGTGATTAGAAAGCACATATTGACAAAATAAATAACACTTTCAATTCAGAAACCCTATTTGCTAATAATTGTAAATATAGAGCTGAGCTCAACAACAAAGATGTTTATTGTTTTTTAATCTATCAGTACTCACTAAAAACTTTTTTGACTACACTTAAAAGTTTTATTTGCTAAAATAAACAAGTCCGAATGTCCAGTCAGAATAATCCTGGAAGCTTGTTGGTGGCAAGAAGAACTGTGGATAAAGTAAATTGAACAAATATTAAATGGCGTGCATAAGGTCAACGTATCAAAAATGATTTCAGTTGTGTGCTCTCTTCGATAACGGCTTGTAAGCCTGATTTTTACAATAAAATAAGTCATTTTCACATTAGTGGCTCACCCAGAATCGCTGTTTCCATTTCTAATTTTTTTTTTTTTAAATTTAATCACAAACGGGAAAAATCTAATCTCCAAAAATGTCAAACTATTCCTTTCAGTCCGAAAGAAAACCCCTCTGAGCTTGAAAAAGAGGACGAGGGGAGCTAACTGTCCCCTCGAGGCCTCAGGAGGCGCTCAGTGTAGCAAACGTCCCGGACCAATACCTGCATCCACGTCATTGGGCCAGCCGCTGGACTGGGAGCTGCTGCCGGCGGCCGGGGAGCGGCCCGAGTAAAACACGTCGTCCACAGGGCTCTCCATCTCACTGTCGTCGATGGACTTACGCTTGTTGGAGCTGAAAGAGACCGAGACGAATGTGACTACAGGCCGCTTTCAAAGAGTAAAAGAGGGAGTGGGGTAAAGGCGCCTTGTCTGTGTGTGATGTCACTGCATTGCTGCCCACGATGCCTCGCAAAAGTATTCACACCCCACTGTCGCACTGAAACCCACGATCGGGTTTTTATATGATAAACCAGGACAGCATGTGTGAAGCGTAAGGAGAAACGTCTTTTTCTTTTTTTTTTAGCAATTAAAATCTGAAATGTGTGGCATGCAGCACCAAAACATGTTGACACAGACGAAAGAGGATTAGGACCGCTGGGACAAATTTATTTTTTCTGAAGATTAAAGTCAGAATTTTTATATTTTAAAATTTCCTTTATTAAATCCTCACTTTTAAGAGGGACCTGGGCAGATCCTGCAACAGCCTGGTCACACACCAGTTAAACTAATTCATTTTCTGAGGAAAAAAGCAAGAATTTTGAAGGAAAAAAGAAGCATACTTTTGTAGGGGAAAAAAGTGAGAATTTGGAGACCAAAGAAAAAAACAGAATTAAGAAAAAAAAAATAAAAATAGTTTGAATTACAAGATTAAAGTCAGATTTTCTTTCCCAGTGACTCTAATCCAGATTTTAAATCCAACTTTTCTAGAAAAGATAAATCTTCATGGATTGTTCGATAAAATCATTATATTGTCCAAGCTTCATTTATAGATGCTCAAAGCTTGGGATATTGTTCTGCAACTCGCCCTGCTGTTTGACCTCTAATTATTTCCAGCAAACCCCTAAAAGAAACTTGTTGACTTTTTTAATTTCTATCTAAGAGTCCCGGAGTAATCCACACCCAACCCGTAGGGATGATACAGATATCTATATCTGAGGTTTAGTAATTACCAATCAGATACAGAAAAACAGTGGAAATGAGCTAAAAAGATACATTTACTGAATTACAAACTTATTTGCTAACGCTGTACAGTTTCACAAACTTAGTTGAGCATGCAAAAACAATTTTAATTTGTTCAGTCGGTGCAACTCGGAGTATCAGGAGTCAAAGTAAAATAAATGAACGAACAGAAACTGACAAAAACAAAAGGTTGACTACCTTGGTCCAACATGTAAAAACTAAACTGTAACAAACTTTCTTCTTCTTTAAACGGGTCAGAAAGTAGAATTAGGAATTCTAAATGTAAAACCATAAAGCATGAGGTCACTCAGAGCACGAAGCACAGAATTAAACTGAATAGATCTGCCCTTAACTACATTGTCACACCGTCACATTTAGATTTTTGTTTCGAAACTCTTGGCGGAGTTTTTTTTTCTCTTCACTTCAAAATCATTCACTCCTAAAAGCTGGTCCATTTAATAAAATCCCGATTAAAAAAACCATCCAGTTAGTGACTGTACTGCTGTAAAAGGCAGGCGAATGCTTTCTGCGAGGCATTGTGTCGGAGATTCTAATAAATGTTCATGCATTATTCCCGGGACCGTGGAGGGCTGACGTGGCTGCATAATTCCCTTGGAGTTAGAACAGGGGCCTACATAAAAATCAAGAACAATAAAAAGTCCCCGTGTCAAGATTTGTGTTTAGTGTGTTGTTTTAATATTATGTTACAGCCGGGGGGGGGGGATCCTGGAGGAAGGCGGGGGCAGAGAAAGCCAGCTGGAGACAGTGTGACAAGAACAGGGCTAGAATATTAATAATAAGTTGGCCCAAAGCGGCCTTCCCATTAGAAGACACACAAGTGGTTGATCCTGAAATGCATTGTTGTGTGAGTTGGCGGCTTCTTATACATCTGTGACCAATAAAATAACGGGGAGTATGGGAGCGGGGGAGTGAGGGGGGAGGGGTGGCTGTGAATGTACAGCATGCAGATGTACGAGTGACGGTGTGCGTGTTGTTGCGTTTTGCTCGAGTGCGATGGAGGGATCTGTGTTCCATTAGTATCGGGGGAAGAGTTCTCTGCAGAGAGTGTAACTACCTCCGTGGGAGACTTGCATAAAGCTCCATTTCAGTCCTGCAGCGTAAGACGAACGGGAGGAGAAAGCAGAAGAGAGCGAGAAGTAAAAACAGACACAAACACAGACGGGCCAGCAGACAGGTTGGCGGGGGAAAAGGAGAGGCAATGAGTTGAAATTAGTAAGGAAGGAAGGAAGGAGAACGGGGAAAGAAAGACCACAATCAGAACCAGAGCAGGAAAAGTACTGAGAAGCTACTAAAGAACCTGATGATGTTAGTGCTAGAGACACACCGAGACATCAGCTAGAGGCATCTGACAGGCTGGTTGGAAACTCAAGAATCCCATATGTTCTCTTTCCAAGCAGTCCGTTCTACAATCTGCACACATTCATATTGTGATTCGATGCATTACAGAATAGGGGCGCACCGACCGCAGTTTTCTGGCCGATCTTTAAATAGCCTGATCTGCCGATGTTTTGGATTTTAAAAGTTGATAAAAATCCTGGGAGCAGAGCAGCTCCTTCAGACTAGCCAGCAAACACCTGGTGGAACTGTGCTGCATTACAGCAGCTGCTTCTCAGAACAGCTGCTATCATGTTGCTAAATAGTTACTAGAGGAGCCATGTTGTGATGACTTTCTGAAGGTGGAGTTTCAGTAAGAGCGGGAGTTTTTAAAGAGACAGAGGCCCAATTTCAAGGTGTCAAATTACAAAGCCAAATTTCTTTTAAGCTATATTTTTTTATATACACCACTTTTTATAACAACTTATGGCAACATAGTTGCTTTACTGTGATATATAATGACACTGTGTGCCTGCAAAATAAATAATACTGCCCCTTTAAGCAGCATGGATCTACAACCACGTTAGCCGCACTAACTAAAGAAAATGTCGCCTCTGTGTTCATTTTATCTTCACCAGAAAGTCTTGATTAAAAAAACGAAACATTCCGATTGCTGCTGGTAGATGGCCATACCTGGTGGACGGGGTGGAGGTGATGGATCGGCGTCCCAGAGTGACCTGGTTGATGTTGTAGTAACCTGGGCTGTCCAGGTCTGCCAGAGAGAAGTTGGGGCCTGTCGCTGTGGCTACTGGAGCTGAGACATGCAAACACAGGAGTCCATCACACACATTCTAAACTTTATTCTAAAAAAAAATAGATTTTACTTTCGTGAACACTTGGTCATATGCAGCAAAGGAAAAAATCTCCAGTTAAAAATGCTTAAAACATCGACATGTTTCAGTTTTACTCAATGTCAATGCAGATTAGGCCTGATCTGTTTATGATATTTTTCATCAAGCTGTCGATAATTGAATATCAGAAGGTGTTTAACAGGAGATTTTTTTTTCTTTACAAAATTTGAACCAAATGAAGTTAAAACTACTACTTGGGGAATTCTGGGTAGAAAATATTTACAGACAAATAAGTTATGTTTTTTTTTTAACTTCAACGGAAAATGTATTTATTATTTTACAGCTTTGGGTTATTTGCTGCTCTCACTGTGCTGTTCTATCAGTAAAACGATGTCTTTCAGAGTCTGTGTACTCCAGTTGATCATTATTTAAATCAATTTGATTAACTGCTTCAGCCCTGCTACAGTTCAGACGGATAAAACGTCTTCTGCAACTTTGGAAACCTGCCTTCAAGGAATCCTGAGTTCATGGTTCTGTGAGGAGATTGTGTGTAGTCAATATCTTCCCTGTTCTTAATAACAATCGTGTTGATTTTAGATGAACACGTATTTCTCTTCCCTCAATTTGTTTTTTCCCTTCTTTTGAAATGTCCCAAAATAAATATGTTCAAATCTTGCCACAGATTCCCAGTCACCTGGTCTTTGACTGGACCATTTTGAGACATGAATAAGCTTTGGTCCAAGCTATTCCATGGTAGCTCTGGGTGCGTGGTTAGGATTGTTATGGTTTTGCATCTTCTCTGTTACTTTTAGTTTTTGGGAACAGCTAAATAGCATTTTCTTCGCAAAATAAAAGCATCCTTAGATATCCGTAGTGCAGGAAAGATATTAACAGCGTTAACCTCTCTACAGAACTCCACCTCGAAAAGGTTTGAATTATTCCTTTAAAGAAACACATGTATTATCTGAATCATAAAGACCTATTGTTGCAAATATTTTTCTTACTCTGTCAATTCTCTCAGTGTATGATCCTTTCTGGAGCTGCTTTACTTTGCAACCTGCTTTTCCTCAACTGCACCCAGTTCCCATACACAGGTTTTACATTAAGACGCTGGACGTTTCGGAGCAGGTTCTGATCAGAAACAGAGACGGCGGCTGATAGCAGAATTCACAGCGATTACTCACTCTGCGACACGCGGACCAGCTCGGCCACGTTCCACACCCCTGAAGTCACGAAGCAGTCCTGGAAACTCAAGTGGCCTGCGTGAAAGACGGGAGAAACACGTGTGCATCGTCAGTGCGGCTCGTCTGCTGGATGCAAAAACACCAAACATGGATGAAGTTTCAGGGACATTTGAGACGACGGCGGTAGAAAAGGAAACGGCGGACAGGCTGCGTTTTTTTGATCTAACTCAATTTGGTAAAATGTGTTTTCTATAAAGTTAGAGGTTCCAACGTTCCTGAATGTTGACATTCTAACATGCACATCTAATCAGGTCCAATAGGTGGGTATGATCTCCAAATGTACATCTATATGCTGCGTGACACATCGTGTAATGACTCCTCCATGGGCAGCACAATGTCTTCCCTTCATTTTGACCTCATTTCAACCACAAACCCCAGTAGATTTGAATGAAGTTTCAAACTATGACTGAAAGTGATAAAGATGCCTCTAATGCCTCTAATTGTAGATATAATAATAAACATGGCTTGTGAACATAAGGAGGAGCTGCAGCAGCCAATACGGTCAACCTTTCACTGTGAATGTTGTCATTTATGAAACACAATTATATTGTAAAGGAAACTTCAGATTTACTCATCAAAATAATGAAGTTTTACTTAATACACACAATTAGATAAGATATGATTGTTGCAAACTGAAACTACTAACAAGTACACTCAATATTGGTAATGAAAAAATGTATATAAAATACCTAGAATTTTCAGAAGTTTCTAGTTTCAGCACTTTTTTTCCAGAATTTTCATTCCATAATTGTGTTGAAATTTCACAACAGAATTATAATGATAGATAGATAGATAGATAGATAGATAGATAGATAGATAGATAGATAGATAGATAGATAGATAGATAGATAGATAGATAGATAGATAGATAGAGAGATAGATAGATAGATAGATAGATAGATAGATAGATAGATAGATAGATAGATAGATAGATAGATAGATAGATAGATAGATAGATAGATAGATAGATAGATAGATAGATAGATAGATAGATAGATAGATAGATACAATAGTACCAATATTTTTCTTTGTTCTAAACTTCTTGTCAAAAAATTTAGATTGATGATTAATTGGATTCATCATCAAATTTACATATCAACAGCATGTGTTGATATTTTTTCACAAATATCAATACCCAATGAACAAAAAATTTATTCATCTTTTTATTTTATTTTTTTTAATGTTTTTTCAAAAAAATTGTTTCTGTTTTTATATTAAACCTAAAAATAGACACAAAGTGGTGGCTCTTTAAAACTTTAACAGTTAGTAGTCAGCTCTGTCTTCCTTCGCACTGTCAAAGTTTCAAAAACTTTTACGCGTTTGTTTTGCTGAACGAGACACGAGTTGGCTGATTCCTCTCCGCGCTTTTACTAGGAACATCAAGGCGGGTGGTCCAACTCTGAACGATGACCAGTTCCCGGCTGGAAAAGGCCCCGATACCTTAGAATGACGTCAAGCGAGGTAAAAAGTTACTTCCTGCCCGAAATACATGCATTACTGATACAAAGCATAATCCATCGTGTAACATAGTTGGTTGGTGCTCTAAATAGCTACTCCATTAAGACACTTCATTATCAATATGCATAGACTGCGAACCATATGCACTGAGGGAGCCATCTTCTCTCTGCTCCTTTTGGTGTGTGAGGTAAGTCGCTTAGTTTCCTGCTGAAGTTCTGTCCGGTCTGACCCAGCTGGTCGTTTTAATCTAAACCACAGATTCTCAGATACATTTCCTCACACTTAAAAATCTATTCATAAACGTCTACAGGCATTTGGGGCCCCCTCCGGCATGATGAATTTCCTATTTTGCCCTTTTCCTGCTGAAGAGAGCATTCCCAACACATGACAGCACCATCATCTTTCTCCTGTTCATGTTTCACATTGGGGGTTTTGTATTCAGAGTGAAATTAGTTTTTATGAACATTGTGTCTAGGCCAAACGGGCCTACTTTGGAACAGTAAGTCATTGTCAATACAAAACATAAAAAAAGGACAAGACAGGCTCAGAAATTCGACATTTTTTGGGTTGATTCTTTATTTACGTTGCAAGATTTGCTTTCGAGTCAAAGCAGGTCACTGTTTGTAGCTTTGGTTACTCCAAAATCAAGATGAATGCAAAGACATTAGGACTGGGAGTCTAGCTTTTGACCCTAATTTTTTCAAGAAGATGTGAAAGATGAAAAAAGTGACAAATGCATCAACAACTTTTCTTGTCAGATTTGTCCCCGGGTTGTACATTGGACACTCCCGACTAGAACACCTTGTTCCACATGCTTGCTCCATTGCCTGTGTGCCTTTTGGAAAAGCGGACTGCTTATTCCTTCCTTTAACAAGTGATTTCTTCAACCAGCTCTTCCAAAAAAACAAACTTCTTCCGCCTGAGGTGTGGATCTTTGCAGAGTTTCCAAAGGCGCCTTGACTATTTAACCCTTTACTTCAGAAGAAAGTTGTTTCAAACTCTAACCCTCATTGGTCTTTATGATTTTGTTTGTTCACTAAAATTCTCTAGCAATGGTCATCACAAACTAGGATTAATTCAGTGACTAATTCTCGTCTTTTACATTTCACCCATCACTTCTGTCCATCACGCGCTCCTTCCCTTCCTTTCATTTCCTATCCACTTCCTCCGTTCTCTCTTCACTCACCCTCTTTCGCTACCCCATCCGCAGGTTAACCGCAGCAGGGGCAACGCATGAGGTCAGCGCTCGGCTCAGCGTCGACCATGTGGTTCCCATCTTCCAATAACGTCAGTGTGATTTATGAGCGGCCCACCGCAAGCTGAGCCCGGCCCCCTCCACGGTACAGTACCGTCAACTTTCCTTACCATAATAAACGCAGCCCCAAATCTGCCCGAACACACCAACACACAGAGAGGACTGTGTGGTGGTGGGAAGGTGTGTGAACATGTGCTCGCCTCTTTTCAGCATCAGAACAGTTTTGTCAAGATTGCCTGCGTGACATTAAAGCACGGTACGCTTACCGTTTGCTGGGGGCTTGACGTCTGTGTCTCCTTGCTGGTTTGAACTGTCTGATTGTCCTGATTGTTCTGAAGAAGACAAGGAAAGAGAGAGAGAGAGAAAATGGGTTACTTCGTCAGTTGCTGCCAAGGAGAAAGGATCTCTTTAAAGACTGATAAGAAATATCTTAAAGCCAGAAGCAGATCTCCACCTGAGCTGAAATTCAGCTCAAAGCCAATAGATGCCAAAACAATGCCAGTCTCTCCTTCTGGACTCCCTCTAAGCAGTACAGAACTTTGTGTTTTTATAGAAGTGTTTTAGCGCACTTTTCTCACATTGTAGGGGAGAAAAAACACCTACGAAAATATAGACACACACCATCTTGCTTTTGGTCCTGTGTAGGAGGGACGAAATGGTTAAAACATGTGAGACGGCGTTTAGTTTATACATGGAAGTTGATGGATCTGTGGGGGGGGGATGTGGGTGGGTTTGCTACGCCCTCAGCATTGTCCTCTTCAAAGAAATGCCGTGCACATTCTGGGTCTTGCTTAGAGCAAGGGTCAGAAACCTCTACAATCCTTACAGCCATTTTTCCAGTTGGATGCAGTAAATTTGTCTAGAGTTGTAAATTCTCCACAACCTGTTGAGGTCAAAGCTTGTCATGATTTATAAACACCTGCTATATAAAGTCTGTTCACTCCATGGTTACAGAAGCAAAATGTTCTGTGTTACAGCAAGGCAATACCTTTACCTTAAAGTAAAGTTATTATGAACCTTAAATGATACCGGTTTTTGAACATTTACTATTAGTAGAAAACAAAGAAAAGAGGATATACTTTAATGCCTAATGACTTTTTTGCCATTGGCCATTTTGTTAGAAAATCTGGTAAAATGACCTTTTGTCATTGCTTATATACTTATGGCTGTGGTAATCTTCTTTATGGCTATTTGAGTTGACAAAAATATTTTGAAAATTTCCCATTTTTAGAGCTGCCCAAATTAAGCTAAAACAAAGACGTTAAACATCAGACCTTGTTAGGTTACTGGATCAGTTCCACTCACATTCAGGCATCAACATACATTGTTCTGTGGATGTTTAGATAACAATAATCTTGTCTTTTCTATCTCCGTTAGATGAAAATTTGATTTGGAAAAGATCATTTTGAGTCAAAGTTAAGACGATCCCCTGTGTTTTCTGCTTGTGATTAAACAAAAACACTTTTTTCACTCACTTTACCTTTATAATCTAAATGAGATTTAATCATCAATCAACCGATCTTTAGTGCTGTGACGCACTTTTTCCACTACAGGAAAGCGTAGTTGCACTGTCGACTTGTAAAGCATGCATTTTTTAATTTTGTGTCTAACTTGGATTGACTCTTGCGTTTGAGTCGACCTCAGCGTCCATCGAGGCATGGAGGAGTGCATGAATTGCCTACTTCAGCGAGTTTTCCTTGGCCCTCGAGGGTTGCCATTCTTCCTCAGATGTGTAATGCAGCCTTGTTGAGTTTTATGGTCGTATCATATATGCTATTTAGGCCAATTATCCCGCAGCGCTTAGCTTTTAAGAGCGCCTTGAGCCAACACTTCTTAGGCAGAGCGTGACCTCCCTTCCAGCCAGCGTTAGGCCCCTCAATCTCAACATCTCCTATGCCTAAATTGGAGCCCTGATCTTGGGTGGCAGCAGCACATGCCAGCAAACTGCTGCCCCATTCAGGCCATCTGCTCATTGCCAAAACTGAGAAAACAAAAGGAGACACAAAATCACTGCATCGTCCGTTGATGCCTGAAAGAAAAAAAAGAACGTCTTGAGGACGGGGTTTCTTCTTCTTTCTTTTTTTCTAACACAAAACACTCCTGTTTCATTCTACGGTAGTAAAAGTCCAACTTCAGGTCTTTCTCCCACAACGTCTCTCAAAGTCGTTGTGTCTCTGATCCTGTGTCTCTCCCGCACTGTCGCTCCGTGGAATCCTGGCAGCCATCTTAGGGCTTGGCAGCCATTTTAGGTTTGGCGGTACCCGTGCATTCCTGCTAGCTGACGGCACACCCACGCATACACACAAAAACACACCCCGACGCTTAGCTCGCTCTCTCTTGCACACAGCCCCAATGGTCTTAAAGATAAAAAGACCTACAGAGGATATGCAATGCTAATGGCGTAAGGAAATGAACCACTGGGATGTTTCTCTGCAGTCCTGTGAGAGTCTTATGCACTTACAGTCTGTCATACATGGCAGTCAAGCTGAGCAGAGCAACCACACCTACTTGAACAGGAGAAAGATGATGCTTCTCTCCGCAACGGAATCTGTAAAACCCTTTGAAACCCCCAAGACTTACAAGCTATCGCCCGTACACTTTGTGACAGCTCCCAAGCCAAAATTCAGTGCCCAGTTGTCATGACAACTCAGATGGCACTGTACACTTAAAGTCCCTAATGATGAGTGGTTGTTGAAGCCTGTGTGTGCATATGTGTCACTGTTTGGCCTTGCAATTAGTCGAAATGGAGATAATAATATAGCTTACTGGCACGAGCTCAACGTGTTGTTTTGTTTAAGATTTCTTGGCAGCACGCAGACCAGGAGCTCTGTGTGCTACACTATCACAAGGCTGATTTTATTGCTGTATGAGTTGCTTTCCATTTGAGGGTCTTAAAACTGCTCATGGTGTAAATCAAAGATCCTAACACGGCTGTATGAACTTTTCTGCCTCCCCTGGCAACCTGAAGACTATAAGGGACATGTGCTTAAGGGGTGGATTGTAAGACAAAAGTATATATTAGCTGATGTTTGAGAAATGTTGTATCACAGTTTGAGTCTTTCTGTTGGCTCGTCCAACAATGCAAATCACTTTCCATTTGAATATTCAAAACTTGAATTTAGTCAATGGGCTTTAAAGCTTCCTGGATCTTAGAAGAACAGAATCGCTTGACCCAGTCTCAATTGACTACTGCCTTGTTTCCGCTGAGAAGTATGGAACGGGTAATTGCGGTTTGTTACCCAACCATTCAATTTTAAGTCCATAGGACTGTGGTACGGTACAGCAATAGAACTATGAATGTCACACAACACAGTCTATTGATTGAGGGACAGAAAAACATCACCGCTTGGGACAAGTACGAGACGTACTAGTGTGTCACTTATGTCGTTCTCCTCGAGAGAGACCAACTGGCGATGGAAAGGCTCTCTTGCCATAAAATAGTGTACCGAACCGCACCGATCCATGCTGTGCCGTTCAATGGAAACGAGGCATATGGTAATTAAATCACCTGAAGGGTTTTACGACAGTAATGAGATCCAGATATGTAACGTAAACTGTTATGTTGCAGGATAAAATATGAGTCCTAGCTTTCTTAAATATTACAGAAGAGTGTTACCTGATTTGGGACCATGTACAGAATCTATTCAAAAGAAATATAAGAGGGAACATTTTTAGGAAATGTGTTTTCTTTATAAGAGAAATATCTATGACACTTCAATCAAAATATTACAGGATTACAGCACCAATTGTCCAACCGATCTTTAGTTATTTTCTGTAAATCGACTTTTATTGGGCACAGTGAGCAAGTCAACACCACAAGTCTTCAGCTGAGTATGTGTAAACTTCTAAGGTTTTGTAAGGGTTTTTAAGATAAAAATGGGAGGCGAAGTACTGTTGGGATTTAGGAATGATGTACTGTTCCAAGACAGCTTTAAATCTGAGGGAAGCAACACACAGTACCCGAGTTGTATTTTTTCCAAGTTAGTAGTGACACTGCAACAACATGCCGTCCAAAAGTACTTTTCTGTTCTTTTAGTTGGATCTTGACCAGGTCCAACTAAAAGAACAGATGGACCCAGACTGGTTGGAGGATTTCCACAAAAATCACCCTATTCTGGCTGTACCTCACCTCTACCTCATTGACTGCTGGGTAAAGTGAGAATAAATTGATTGGACGGACAGACGAGTTAATCCTTACATCTTACATGGTCAGACAAAATCTAAATTTTTTCAAACTCTTGAGCAGTCATACGCAAAAAGAGAAAGATCACATAAGCGGTTCAGAGACTGTGGATAAGGATAGGGTTGGTTTGACAGAGTGGGAAGTTATGGATAGGATATGATGTAGGCAACTGTGTTGAAGTTCAGGAGTGTGTGGTTGCATAATTTCTTTTGTTTTTGATGATATTTATAAATTTAATATGCACAAAGCTGACGGAAGTGAGAAATATGAGCTTGACACCTGGTAGCTGTCTTTGTGGAACTTTTCTTTATATATAAAAAGTAGATTTTTAGTTTTTCATAAAAAATATTGCTGAATTCCTGTACTCATGAACCTACTAATGTCATATTCTTTAACTTTTTATAAGCCAGTCCCAGGGTCCCAGTGTATTATAAGCCTGGCGGGCCACCAGGCTGAACTTTTGCTGCAACCCGGCTAAGCATTGCTGATTTGTTTAAGTCTTTTTAAAATGTTTGCATTTTTTAAGACTTTATAGGTGCTCAGGTGTTCATCTTCCAATCTTTCAATAACACATGATTGTCAAGTGATATTTTCAAATTTACTGTCAATTTTTAAAAAACAAGCAAACTCCAAAACACGTTGGGCCGCTGAATGAATGACTGTCCAAGCACCCAACCACCGGACTTAGCAAATTTTCTGGGGGAAACCTTACAGTCCTATTTTGCCAAAATGTAAAAATTACATTTATTTTACAATTACAATATCTATATATATATATATATAATATATATATATATATATATATATATATATATATATATATATATATATATATATAAAAGAATAAGCCTTTTACTTTCTGACTGCATATTCATGATTCAACATTGGTGGATATCTATAAAATGTGGCTCAAAATTATTCCCAGAACACCTGTCTATTAACACAATTTTATTGTAGAGCGTAATAGACAAATTGAAAACAAAATACATCTTGGGAAGCTGTTGTCCTTAGCTTACTTCATACCTAACTAATTGGTATGCAAAGGGTGATTATCCATTTGCAAGTCCATTTTCCTCAATCTTTAATGTCATGGCTGATGGACGGAGAAGCTGCTTCAATATCTCAGCAATAATATTGTTTTTGTTTTTG